GGGGCCTGGTGTGTCAGCTGGAGGAGACCACACAGCCTATGCATCCCCATCAGTGTTGAGCCCTTGTCACGATTTTGGCCCACTCTTTTGCACTCTTATGTCATGATATGCTTAAGTCAGGCATGGACCCATTTCTGTTACCTAAGTAAACTTGTACAAAAAAAGGGTGTATCATGTCTGGAAATGGGAAACCAGCACGGCTTTCCCTAAAAGGAAAGAAGTAAAAGTCGTGGATGAAAGCCTGATGAGAGAAAACAGGATTTGCATCATCTTAAAGTATCTCTCAAAAGATTGTCTGTTAATTTCAAGGGGGAAAACATGGCACTTTCCTTTGGAGAAACCTGGACAGACCACCTGGGTCAAAGGATGGAGATGAGCCTCAGCAGTGATGACTCCATGGGCAGCTCCCGCTGAGGGACTCTTGCCAAAATGCGCCGACATGCATTTTATCTCATTTTATGCGCATCCTCTCACCAATCATGAGAAAATATTAGAGAAACCCAAACTGAAGGAGCCTCTATAAAATAACTGGACAAAACTCTTCAAAATTGTGTAGTTCATGAAATAGAGAGTGAAGAATTGTCCCAGAGTGGAGGGTACTGAAAAGGCTCATAAATATGACACCTCACTTGGACTGGCTTGGGAGCCAGGGGTGGAGGGAATTGTGGAAAGGACATGATTGGGACAACCTGTGATATATAAATAAGAATTTTTGACTAGGGGCACCTGGGTGGCTCAGTCAGTTGGGCATCTGCCTTTGGCTCAGGTGATGATCCTGGAGTCCTGGAATCGAGTCCCGAGTCGGGTTCCCTGCTCAGCAGGGAGCCTGCTTCTCCCTCTCTCTCTGCTGCTCCCCCTGCTTGTGCTCTCTTTCTCTCTATCAAATAAATAAAATCTTAAAAAAAATTCTTGACTAGATAATAGTATTTTATCAATGTTATTTTTACCGATTTTGATAACCATGCTGTGGTTATATAAGAGGACATTAGAAACACACACCGAGTGTTCAGGGGTAAAGGGTTATGATGCCTGTTTGCAATTATTATGTAACAATCACAAAACAAAACCAGAAACAAGGTGTGTAAACCAACAGCAGTAAGAACAAAACAAGTTTATTAGAGTCCAGCTTTCACAGCCGGGCCCAGACAGGGACCTGCTCTCTCTTGGTTAAAAAGGATGAACAAAACTGGAGAATTCAAACCTCTGCCAGCTGCCAAGCTGAGATTTCCCTCTTGAGGTACCCAGAAGAATTGTAATTAAGGACAAAGGGGAGTGATTTCTCATCACCTTATTTGGTGTCATTTAGCTCTGGGCCTGTGTCCCCCTTACCGGCCCCTTGAAGACACCAGTCTGTGTCCCTGCTTTGGGAAATATCCTTGTAGCAGGCGTGAGGGAAGAGCGCAGCTGGGGCTGGTCTCCAGTGAGTTTACTTTAGACCCAGGAAGCCCCGGCTCCCTGTGTCATCTTTGGTCCAAGGCACTTCCCAACACCACGGAATTTTGCAAATGTGGTTCCAGCTGGAGGCCCCACCCCAGGCAGCCCAGCGCTGAACGCTGCGTGTTCGAGCGCTGTGCACACCCGGACCACGGGTCCCCCTGGAAGGAAGGGGGAGGAGCGACAGTGCCGGGGGGCGGGGCGTCGAGGAGCTGGGGGCGCGGAGTTCCTGGCCCGACGCGCCCGGCCCGCGGAGAGCCCGCTGTGGCCTTGAGAGGGGCGACCTCTGGTGGCCAACTCGCGTCACTGCGGCGCCTCCCTGCCTCCGAGGGGCGACGCACGCACCAGCAGAACGAGGTATTCTGCCCCCCACCCCCCACCCCGCCCCAGGCCCGGTCTCCCTATTTTGAAAGGAGCAGGTGTATGGGATGCCTTTTCTCTGCAGCCCCTGCTTCATCTGGAGTTATTTAAAAGTGAACTAGGTGGAGGACGTTTTAGCAGTACGTGGTTATCCGCCGCTCCTTCACCCCTTTCCTCCCTCCTCCTCCTCCCTCCCCTCGCCTTCGTCCCCTGGCAGGTGTAGGCAGTCCCAGTGGCGACCATGTGTCCTTCCCAGGACGCCAGCGCTGTTAGTCCGTGTGTGGCCCTCTCGTAAGTCCCACGGCCTGCTTGGCTGCCGGTCCGGACACTCACTCTTTTATGAGGTGATGCCAAGTTGTTTTCCAAATTTAGACCGAATTCCTCAACGTATAAAAGAGATCATTCTCTCCAACGTTTTACTGGTCAGTCACTGAGTATCATCTGTTCATGTTTTCTGTGAAATGCCTCTTCGTGTCTTTTTCCTATTTTTCACTTGGTTTACCTTTTTTCTTATTGACATTTAGATCCCGAAATCATTTAGAGTCAATTTGCGTGTGTGGTGTGAGGTGGGTGAGGTAGGGAGAACAGTCGCTCCAGAGATGAGGTGGACATCGTCCACATCCTCGTCCCTGGAACCTGGGGACATGGGACCATATGTAGCAAAAGGAACTGTGCTTATGTGATTCAGGTTACAGACCCTGAGGTGGGCACACTGGCCTGGATTATCCAGGGGGGCCTCATTTAATCATGTGGGTCCTTAGAAACTGGGGCCCTTTCTTGGCTGAGACCACAGACATGAGAAGAAGCAGGACAGGGACGGTCCTCACTGCTGGCTAGAGATGGAGGAAGGGCCCCGGGCCAAGGCTGCAGTGCCTCCGAAGCTGGGACAGCCCTCAGCTGACAGCCACGGGAAGTGGGGGCTCCGGGTCGAAACCGCAAGGAGCTGAGTTCTGCCAGCACCCCAGAAAGCCCGAAACAGATCCTCCCTTGCCACGTCCAGAGGGACCCAGCCCAGCCAACCTCTTGGTCTGAGCCCAGTGGGACCCACTGTGGACTTCTGGCCTCAAGAACCTCCAGATAACAAACTACTGTTGTCGAAGCCTCGAAGTTTGCCGGTGTTTGCTGTGCAGCACCAGGAAAGGAATCTAATAGGGGTCCAATTTGTTTTCTGTTCTATGCTTATCCCAGGTCCTGGCACCATGCAGTGAGATGCCGCTCCTTCCCCACCACCTGCTGTCCTCCCCACCAAACTCCACACACACTCAGCCAGTTCCGGTCCCCTCTGTTTTCCATTCAAAACATCCTACACATCCAGGGATCACCCCCCTGGTTCCAGCTCCTCGGCTGTGAACTTTCTTGCTTTCCCACATATTTGAGCAGCAGAAATGGACCTCCCAGCGCTCGCTCCAAGGCTGGTGGAGCTCTGGTCCCTCCAGCACCTTCTCCTTGTCCTCGTGTAAGTGCCTGGCTCCCGAGACCTTGTTCCTCTTGTGAGCTCGAGGCAATGCCTGGCCTTCACGGCACTCGTGGATGCTAGATGTGGCAGATACAGGCTTGACTTCATGCCAAGCAGGTTTAATGAGCTGTCTCTAGTAGGAAAGTGGACTTGAAAAATAATTTTTATTATTGCATTGTAGTCGACACAATGTTCTATTAGCTTCAGGTGCACAACATAGTGATTCCACAATCCCATATGTCACCCAAACAATGTTATTATGATATTATCATATTCCCCATGCTGCACTTTTCATCTCTGTGACTAATTTTATAACTGGAAGTTTGTACCTTGAATCCCCTTCCCCTAGTTTGCCCATCCCCCAACCCCATCCCCTAAAGTGGACTCATGTTGGAACAGAGATTGCTTACAGAACTTTGCAATGATGACAGGTCCCTCTGAGTGCAACAATATGGACTTTACCTTTTTGTGAAAGGCGCCTGTGGATCTTGGTCAGATTTAACTTAAGAGGGAAAAATAAATCTCTGAGTGCAAGGAGAGGGTTTAGGACACTTAAGGCCAGTAAAGGGGATTTTTGCAAGGGTCTTACAGATTGAACCAGATGCCCTCAAAAGCCTTTCTTTTGGAATCATCCAAGAGACTCCTTCCTTCTCTCCCTTTCCTGACAGAGATGATGGTGGGGCAAAGCATTAGGGAGGCAGGATGGATAACTGGAAAGGACTTTGCAACTTCACGGTTTGTACAGGGAGGGTTCCCTCAGGCCCTGGGGATGAGCAGCCTGGGCTGTGGGAACAGAGCAGGATCTGGAGGGCAGGGCTGGGCATGGGAGGGTCTTAAACAATGAGCAGGAAACAGCCAAGCAGAGAAAGGGAAAGGCATGATATGTAGGAGTGTGGCCTGGCAGAGGCAGTTCCTCTGATGGCCTGCAGGGAATTTTTCAAAACTGGAGCCTGGGGTGTGCGTCGGGGGCCATGAGAATATTTCAATTACCATAACTACTGCTTTGTTTTGACAAGGTAAGAAAGCCTGTTTTGAACACCGGCTGTAGCTGAAGTTATTTCTTGAAATGTTGGGGCTGGAAGACTGTGTATCCATTAGGGTGCTTTTGGCTGCAAGCCTCGGGAAACCCAGCTACCACTCGCAGCTAAGAGAATTCACTGTCCCGTAACAGGAAGGCCAGACACACAGCCTGCTCCATGATTGCCAGGTCCAGGGGCTCAACCACACCACAAAATCCTGCAACCCACCATTCTCAGACTCACAGGCGGTCTCATGGTCACAAGATGGCTACCTGCGCTCTAGACATCACCGACAGTCCCCAAAACCGCTAAGAAGGAGAGATGGGCTCTCTTCCTCTTGTGTCCTTTTGAGAGCGAGGAAGCCATTCCCAGAAGCCCCCTGCAGCTTGCCCCTCAGGTCTCACCCCTAAACCAATGCTGGGAGGGTACAGCCACCAGGACTGGCTCCTTGAACGGAGCACAGATGGGGTCTCACTAAGAAGAAATGTAGGATGGGGCTGGGTACTAGTCCTGGCTTAGCCAGGAAAAGACAGAGAAGGGGCTGAGGTCTGGTGGGTGAGCAGGCCCCCACGAGGAGCTGCCGAGTTGTCCGGGGATGGCACGTACGGCCACGCTGGGAGTGGAATGTGGGCGCCCAGAATGTGGGCAGGCCATTCTCCTGTCGCCGGGTGACCACAGACACACTTGGGTGTTTGGGGAGCCAAGCTGCAGGACTGCAGAGGGCCCAGTGCATGGGGGACCAGTGGCAAAGTTCGCTCCTCAACCACCACAGCTCGGAGGCCGAAGGCAGCCCACCCAGGGGACAGGACTATGGCGTCCTGGGCATGCAGGGAATGGTGTCTGGGAGCCGACGGACCACGGACACCGGGTACCCAGATGATGGGAAGCTGAGATTTGAAGACCAAGAAGGGAAGACCCTCCCAGAGGAGGTGACTGGGGAAGAAGTGCCCAGTCCCCGGAACCCCAAGGTGGCCCTCAGGGTTCTGGAGAAAGACGCCGACGAGGGCGTCTCTGAGATGAGGTGGGCCTGCCCAGCTGGGGTGGGGGCAGTGGGGGAGAGCAGCGGTCCCACCCCCGCCCCGGGGTGGCCCTGTGTGCCCTTGCTGGGGACCGCGGCACCCCAAGTGTGCACTGTGTGGGACAGGAGGGCGGCCCCTCACTGGCCTCTGAGGCAAACACAGCCACATCGAGGCCGGGGCGGGGGGGGGTGAGGGGGGGAGGGTCAGAATTGGAAACCTTACAAAAGCACTGATCTGGGGAGCTGGACAGACAGGGTTGGGGTGCCAGAGTTGGGAAGCCAGGAGTGGAGGCCCTCAGTCAGAGAGAAAGAGAAATGGGGAGAACCTCCCAACTCAAAGCCAAAACCATTCCAAGGACCTCACACTCCCAGAAGCGTTTGAGACAGCCTGGACGACGCACTCCAGGTCAAGGGGTAACTGGCGGGCTGAGTGTTTGCAGGGAGTGATTTGTGGCAAGTTGTGGAGTCCTGGAAAGAAACAGGAGCTCTCTCTCCTGCGGGACTCCGAGCTCAGCTCCTCTGCTGGAACCCGCGTCCCTCCGGCCTGCCCTGCACTGGGTCCACGCTCTGGGTTCACTCTGGCTCGGCTGTTCCGGTGGAAGAGCCTCTCCCCTTGTCCCTGCCACTGCAGATGGACCCCGCCCCCCACCCCCACCCCCACCCCTGCTCTCACAGAGCTTGTGTCTCTCACACACACACACACACACACACACACGGTGTAGCAGGTGGTGGCCGGCGACATCTGCTGTGGGGGGAAGAGCGCAGGCCAGTGAGAGGGGCCTGGGGGGTGGCATTTGGGCCAGGGGTGGCACCCAGAGAGGGAACAGGCAGGTGTCTCAGCCCCAGACACCCTATGCCTCCCAGTCTCTGGGCTTCCGGAGGCCAGGCCCACAGTTGGCACTTAAAACCTGCTCATGAGATTTAGTCCGCTTTAGTCTTCTCAGGTGTCTGGTGCCTCGGGAGCTGGTCTTCCCCACTTTGCAGAGGGCCTCACAGTGGTGACTCGGCCAGTTCCGAGCCAGGACTTCCACTCAGGGGTCTGCGATTCCAGACACCGCCCCAGAGAGGCCCCTTCTCGCTGGGCAGGGCCTGACCCACTCACCGCCCACCTCTCCCAAAGCCGGCTGTCCATCACCCAGAGGTTCCCCAGCATCTCCTCCATCAGAGGGAGGAAGAGGAAGAGGATTTTTGAGCTGGCAAAGCCCAAGACCAACTGGCAAGTCTCGAAAGACAGGTGAGGCCTATGGGCCGAGTCGCTGAAGGTGGGGGTGGGGCGGAGGAGGAGGAGGAGGAGGAGGAGGAGGAGGAAGAGGAAGGTGTGCTGCTGGAGGCAGGGGTGGGGTCCACAAGGAGGAGGAGGAGGAGGAGCAAGGTGTGCCGCTGGAGGCAGGGGTGGGGTCCATGAGGAGGAGGAGGAGGAGGAGGAAGGTGTGCCCCTGGAGGCAGGGGTGGGGTCCACGAGGAGGAGGAAGGTGTGCCCCTGGAGGCAGGGGTGGGGTCCACGAGGAGGAGGAGGAAGGTGTGCCGCTGGAGGCAGGGGTGGGGTCCACGAGGAGGAGGAGGAGGAGGAGGAGGAGGAAGGTGTGCTGCTGGAGGCAGGGGTGGGGTCCACAAGGAGGAGGAGGAGGAGGAGCAAGGTGTACCCCTGGAGGCAGGGGTGGGGTCCACGAGGAGGAGGAGGAGGAGGAGGAGGAGGAAGGTGTGCTGCTGGAGGCAGGGGTGGGGTCCAAGCGGTGGAGGAGGAGGAGGAGGAGGAGGAGGAGGAGGAGGAGGAGGAGGAAGGTGTGCCGCTGGAGGCAGGGGTGGGGTCCACGAGGAGGAGGAGGAGGAGGAGCAAGGTGTGCCCCTGGAGGCAGGGGTGGGGTCCACAAGGAGGAGGAGGAGGAGGAGCAAGGTGTGCCCCTGGAGGCAGGGGTGGGGTCCATGAGGAGGAGGAGGAGGAGGAGGAGGAAGAAGGTGTGCCGCTGGAGGCAGGGGTGGGGTCCATGAGGAGGAGGAGGAGGAGGAGGAGGAGCAAGGTGTGCCCTGGAGGCAGGGGTGGGGTCCATGAGGAGGAGGAGGAGGAGGAGCAAGGTGTGCCCTGGAGGCAGGGGTGGGGTCCACGAGGAGGAGGAGGAGGAGGAGGAGGAGGAGGAAGGTGTGCCCCTGGAGGCAGGGGTGGGGTCCACAAGGAGGAGGAGGAGAGGCAAGGTGTGCCCCTGGAGGCAGGGGTGGGGTCCATGAGGAGGAGGAGGAGGAGGAGGAGGAGGAGGAAGGTGTGCCCCTGGAGGCAGGGGTGGGGTCCACGAGGAGGAGGAGGAGGAGGAGGAGGAGGAAGGTGTGCCCCTGGAGGCAGGGGTGGGGTCCACGAGGAGGAGGAGGAGGAGGAGGAGGAAGGTTGCTGCTGGAGGCAGGGGTGGGGTCCACGAGGAGGAGGAGGAGGAGGAGGAGGAGGAGGAAGGTGTGCCCCTGGAGGCAGGGGTGGGGTCCACGAGGAGGAGGAGGAGGAGGAGGAGGAGGAGGAAGAGGAAGGTGTGCCCCTGGAGGCAGGGGTGGGGTCCACGAGGAGGAGGAGGAGGAGGAGGAGCAAGGTGTGCCCTGGAGGCAGGGGTGGGGTCCACGAGGAGGAGGAGGAGGAGGAGGAGGAGCAAGGTGTGCCCTGGAGGCAGGGGTGGGGTCCACGAGGAGGAGGAGGAGGAGGAGGAGCAAGGTGTGCCCTGGAGGCAGGGGTGGGGTCCACGAGGAGGAGGAGGAGGAGGAGGAGGAGGAGGAAGGTGTGCCCCTGGAGGCAGGGGTGGGGTCCACAAGGAGGAGGAGGAGGAGGAGGAGGAGGAGGAGGAGGAAGGTGTGCCCCTGGAGGCAGGGGTGGGGTCCACGAGGAGGAGGAGGAGGAGGAGGAGGAGGAGGAGGAGGAAGGTGTGCCCCTGGAGGCAGGGGTGGGGTCCACGAGGAGGAGGAGGAGGAGGAGGAGGAGGAGGAGGAGGAGGAGGAGGAAGGTGTGCCCCTGGAGGCAGGGGTGGGGTCCACGAGGAGGAGGAGGAGGAGGAGGAGGAGGAGGAGGAGGAGGAGGAGGAGGAAGGTGTGCCCCTGGAGGCAGGGGTGGGGTCCACGAGGAGGAGGAGGAGGAGGAGGAGCAAGGTGTGCCCTGGAGGCAGGGGTGGGGTCCACGAGGAGGAGGAGGAGGAGGAGGAGGAGGAGGAGGAGCAAGGTGTGCCCTGGAGGCAGGGGTGGGGTCCACGAGGAGGAGGAGGAGGAGGAGGAGCAAGGTGTGCCCTGGAGGCAGGGGTGGGGTCCACGAGGAGGAGGAGGAGGAGGAGGAGGAGGAGGAAGGTGTGCCCCTGGAGGCAGGGGTGGGGTCCACAAGGAGGAGGAGGAGAGGCAAGGTGTGCCCCTGGAGGCAGGGGTGGGGTCCACGAGGAGGAGGAGGAGGAGCAAGGTGTGCCCTGGAGGCAGGGGTGGGGTCCACGAGGAGGAGGAGGAGGAGGAAGGTGTGCCCTGGAGGCAGGGGTGGGGTCCACGAGGAGGAGGAGGAGGAGGAGGAGGAGGAAGGTGTGCCGCTGGAGGCAGGGGTGGGGTCCACGAGGAGGAGGAAAGTGTGCCCCTGGAGGCAGGGGTGGGGTCCACGAGGAGGAGGAGGAGGAGGAGGAGGAGGAAGGTGTGCCCCTGGAGGCAGGGGTGGGGTCCACGAGGAGGAGGAGGAGGAGGAGGAGGAGGAGGAAGGTGTGCTGCTGGAGGCAGGGGTGGGGTCCACGAGGAGGAGGAGGAGGAGGAGGAGGAGGAAGGTGTGCCCCTGGAGGCAGGGGTGGGGTCCACGAGGAGGAGGAGGAGGAGGAGGAGGAGGAGGAGGAGGAAGGTGTGCTGCTGGAGGCAGGCGTGGGGTCCACGAGGAGGAGGAGGAGGAGGAGGAGGAGGAAGGTGTGCCCCTGGAGGCAGGGGTGGGGTCCACGAGGAGGAGGAGGAGGAGGAGGAAGGTGTGCCCCTGGAGGCAGGGGTGGGGTCCACGAGGAGGAGGAGGAGGAGGAGGAGGAGGAAGGTGTGCCCTGGAGGCAGGGGTGGGGTCCACGAGGAGGAGGAGGAGGAGGAGCAAGGTGTGCCCTGGAGGCAGGGGTGGGGTCCACGAGGAGGAGGAGGAGGAGGAGGAAGGTGTGCCGCTGGAGGCAGGGGTGGGGTCCACGAGGAGGAGGAGGAGGAGGAGGAAGGTGTGCCCTGGAGGCAGGGGTGGGGTCCACGAGGAGGAGGAGGAGGAGGAGGAGGAGGAGGAGGAGGAAGGTGTGCCGCTGGAGGCAGGGGTGGGGTCCACGAGGAGGAGGAGGAGGAGGAGGAAGGTGTGCTGCTGGAGGCAGGGGTGGGGTCCACGAGGAGGAGGAGGAAGAGGAGGAGGAGGAGGAGGAAGGTGTGCCGCTGGAGGCAGGGGTGGGGTCCACGAGGAGGAGGAGGAGGAAGGTGTGCCCCTGGAGGCAGGGGTGGGGTCCACAAGGAGGAGGAGGAGAGGCAAGGTGTGCCCCTGGAGGCAGGGGTGGGGTCCACGAGGAGGAGGAGGAGGAGGAGGAGCAAGGTGTGCCCCTGGAGGCAGGGGTGGGGTCCACGAGGAGGAGGAGGAGGAGGAGGAGGAGCAAGGTGTGCCCCTGGAGGCAGGGGTGGGGTCCACGAGGAGGAGGAGGAGGAGGAGGAGCAAAGTGTGCCCTGGAGGCAGGGGTGGGGTCCACGAGGAGGAGGAGGAGGAGGAGGAGGAGGAAGGTGTGCCCTGGAGGCAGGGGTGGGGTTCACGAGGAGGAGGAGGAAGAGGAGGAGGAGGAGAAGGAAGGTGTGCTGCTGGAGGCAGGGGTGGGGTCCACAAGGAGGAGGAGGAGGAGGAGGAAGAAGGTGTGTCGCTGGAGGCAGGGGTGGGGTCCATGAGGAGGAGGAGGAGGAGGAGGAGGAGGAAGGTGTGCCCCTGGAGGCAGGGGTGGGGTCCACGAGGAGGAGGGCAGCTCCTGGGGGTCTGCCCTGCTCTCCCCCACCGCCCCCCGGCTTCCTGGCTCCCTTGTCCCATCTCTCACCCATGTGATGACACCAGGGGGGCAGGTACAGAGGGAGGCTAGAAGTCAGGGTTCCAGAGATGGGACTGGGGTGGCTTCCGGGTACCAGTAAGGACAGTGAGGCCTTTGAGCAAATGCAGCCACAGAGCAGTCGGGGGCTAGGGCCTATCTCATCGCAGGATGGAGTGCTGCTGTAAGGGCTATGCCTGGGTGTCCCGGTGCAAGAGGAAGTTGCAGTTCTGTGTCTACTGGTAAGTCCCAGGGTGCCCCTCCATCTCCTGCCATGGGGGGCATGCTCCAGGGGATCCCTCCTCCTCACCAGGGGCAGGGATTGGGAGAAAGGGCCCTCTGATGGGGGGCTTCCTCACCCCGAGGGCCATTCCCAGCTCCACCCTGGTGCTCTGGACGCCAGTCCACCCAGCTGAGAAGTGGGTCTGCTCCCGTGATAGGGCCCTGGGTCCTGCTCTTAGCTGTGCCTTTTTTTTTTTTTTCCAGCTCTCCCTTCTCTGAACATCAGCCCTGCTCAAAAGCATCTACAGTTCCCCACATGCCTCACTGTCTCCCTCCTGTACATATCTGTTTGTAAGGTGCCCTGAGTTCTGTTTCAGAGCAGGGCACAGGAAGCCTGTGTCCCAGCTTCCTTGACCCTGAGCCATGCCTCGGTGTATTCCAGGCCTTCTGTGTACTGGACAGAGAGGTTTCTCGAAGACACCACCCTCACCATCACAGTGCCAGGTAGGTGGAGCCCACCCACCACCTCCACTTCTCCATCAGGGGTCACCTAGCTCAGGGGTGGGCCGGAGGTGGCCCTTGTCCCAGCTCTCATGCTGGGTCACCCCCATTCTACTCCAACCTGTGCCCCAGATCCAACCGAGGAGATCCAACTGGGGTCTCCCCTAGCCCCAACCTCACCAGAATTCCCTATTGCTGCTCCCCCAACCCCCATCTCCCAGGTATCTCATCTCTGGCCTCTGTCTCTGGAGGAGCCAGAAACGCTGGAGGCTGGTCCTGGGGTGAGGGGTGTGGGGCAAACTCTCCAGGGGAAATCCCAATTTGCACTACAGCCAAAATGGGGGTTAGTATTAAATTTATTAAAAGACTCTTTGCCTTCCCTTCTGCAATGGTTTCTACACTTTTTGAGAGCAGTGGATCCCTTCAAATAAACTATTTCAAGAAATCTCTTACTGGAGAGAAGTAATAGGGCAGGTTCTCTCTTGGGGGTTTTAGAATCTTCCTCAGAGTGGACACTAAGCTTTTGTAAACCCTAGGTGTGTACTAACTGCAGACCAAAATCCACTTTCCCGACCAGTGGGTTGTTGGAGGCACTCTGAGCTCTGTTGAGGAACTGATGGGCCTGAGCTCCCATTCCAGGCCTGCTGCTCCCCTCCTGTGTGCCCTGAGTAAGGGACTTCAGGCCCCTGGGACCACTGTCCCTAGAATGGGGATAGCAAAAGTCACTTCTCTGCAAGGTATCTGGTGCTCAACTCTCTAGGCCCTCAGTGCCTCACATTGTGCCTCTCACTCTAGCTAGTGGAACACTAAGCAAGAAGGAAACCTCTGAGGGTGGGCAGGTTTCTCAGTGGGGGCTGTTTCCGATTTTGCATAGAGGTGTCCCGCCGAGTGGAGGAACTGGCTCGACCTAAAAGGTTCTACTCGGAGTATTACAACAACAACAGGTAAAGGAAGGAGTGCTGAGCAGGTACTCTGAAGGCAGAGTTGGCAGAAAACCTCTCCCTTCCCTAACAGAATGTGGCATGGGGAGAGTCCAGGTCCAGGGAGTAGATGACCTGACTTCAGACTGGGCTGGGCTACTCCCCAGCTGGATGCCTGTGGGCAGGCACTTGACCCTATGAGCTACAGCTCTCTCTCCACCTGTGGGATGAGTGGAGGTGGGGATCATACTCGAAAGGTACTTAGCACAGTACCTGACCTAGCAAGTGCTCAACAAATGTTACTCATCACCATTCTGGATTTTGCTGGCCCTAAAAAAGCTAGCAATCCTAAGACCTTATTTTGTGTAAAACTTTTAACACAATGCCTTCTTATCACTTAGAACTTTCATGCTTGTTAAAAGCTATCTTTAGAGTTATTTAGACATAGATTTTAATTACCTATTTTTATGCACATAAAAGGAAAATAATAGCAGATGAATTAGCTAAACTGTGTCTGAATTTTTTGAATCACTTTTTGACTTAGAAGTTGACAAGTTTCCCCACACTGTTTTTATTGCCTGTCTTTGTGATGGTAACTTTCCATTTTATTGCTGAATCATCGTGTAATCTGAAGATAACTTAAACTGCAATTAGACTTAACATCTGTAGATCCAAGAATGCATATAATTCATCTGGGCCATTTCAGTGCCAACAACCACCCCAGAGTGCACGCAAGCGAGGACAGCCATGGGACTTCTGACGTTTGGCTGACAGCATTTATAAGCTGCCTTCCAACCTCAGAGATGTGAAAATACAAACCCGTCTGCCTCAGATCAATGAAACGTAGCTTTCTTTCTGGGGCAGAGACAGACCTGACATCTGATTTCAGGATACACGGGCCCACACCCTTTCATCCCTTGTGTCCAGTCCTGACCCCAGCCCCAACAGGGGTGTGGGCGAGAGGCCCTGGGAACCACTGTCACCACAGAGGGGGACAGGGAAGCACTGAATCGGAAGATGGCCATTGCACCCTGAGCTGGGATGACCTTGGGAGAGGGTAGCTCTGTCCTTGAGAACACTTAGGGCCTCTCTTTTAGGGATTCTTTCCTGAATCCCTTCCTGGAGGTGTTTTCAAAACGCTCCACAGTCCCAGGCTGTCCCTTATTCCCGAACTCAGAGACAGGCTGAGAGGACATGACACGCGCAGAAGACAGAGCCGCGCCCCTGGCTGAGCTGCTGTGTCAACTGTGGATGTCCCCTAGGACCACCCCCATTTGGCCCGTTCCTCGGTCTTCCCTGGAATACCAAGCTTCCAGTCGCCTGAGGGAACTGGCCGCCCCGAGGGTCCGGAATAACATTTGGAGCATAAACATGTCTGAGGTAGGTGCCTTGCTGTGCTCTGGCTCTCCCCGGGGGCCCGCGTCAGAGAGCACACACTCCGGGGCCGTCCGCACAGCACTGCTCGGTCGAGCCAGCGGGATTCCCCGGTGTCTGTCTGCTCAGGACGGAGCTGGGCTTTCCTCTCACCACTGCCTTGAACCTGCTCAGGGACCCCCTTCCCCGCCCGTTTCAGAGATCACGACATAGTTCAGTTCCCCACTCAGGCCCAACATGGCCTCTGGCAACTGCGTCCTGTCCCCCATTCCCACAATTTTCCCTTCTCCTGAGTGCCGCATGACGGGATAGAGCTCTCGCAGCTCAGCTAATGTGTCTGAGATTCTCGAGCATCTCAAGAGTTCTTGCCTTTTGAGCACTGGGTCATGTTTCATCACGTGGGTAGACCAGTCAGCCCCTGAAGGACATTTGAGTTGTTTCCAGTTTTTGGCTCTTACAAATAAAGCTGCTGTGAAGCTGGCATCTCACTGTGGTTTTAATCTGCACTAAATATGTTGATGGGGATTTTCACATGATTGTTTTCCAGAACCCCCACTTCAAAAAAAATTTTTAAAGTAAATCCAGACATCACACCATTTCTCTTCTACTTCAGTATGCATTTCTAACTGACATCCATAATAACAATGATCACACTAAAAAATTTAACAGTAACACCTTAATATCCAAATACCCAGTCTGTATTCACTTTTCCCAGTCGATCCCCCCCAAAAGGGTTTTATGGCCACTTTGGTTGAATTGGGATCCAAAGGAGGGCGCTGTCCTCTCGACCTGTCCCACCTCTTACCTGAGATTCACCTGTTGTTTTCCGGGCTGCCTGCCTTGCCTTTGCCAGTTCAAGCCTGCCCTGATGCCTCTTTCCTTCTGTGTGCCAAACCCTTCCATGGTTCCCAGTCCCTGGGAAAGTCCAGATTCCCAAGCTAAGAACTGAAGGCTAAGCAAGACTTGGCTCTTCCTGACCTCTCCTTCTTCATATACCTGCTTTGTTGGGCTACATGCAGGACCTTCGATGAGCCTCTCCAGGTCTTTGCCCACGCAGGTCCTGCTACCTGGAACACCTCTCCCCTCTCTATCTAGCCCCTTTGTACTCAAGAACCCTCCTCTCCTTTGCCCGACCCTCCCGTTCCCAGCCAGTCTGGTGGGAGTCCCACCTCCAATATCCCTGCACACTCCTTTGCTCCTTCCCAGCCCCTAGCACAGTTTCTGGATGGACTGTTGATTCTTCCACCAGACTGGGAGCAACCGAGGACGGGGACCACGTCTTTCTTGCTTTTAGTGGCAATATTCCTAAGCTCGTATTACCCTATGCAAGGCACAGAGTGGCAACTAATATTAGTCTGAGACATGGACAGGTGAATGTTTACCTGCCTGCCCACCCCTCCAGGCAGGACTGACATCAGGCTCATTCCCCACCCAGCAGTCAGGCCTGAGTTGTGTCAGTCATGGGGAAAGAAAGGAGGAGGGGAGAGGAAGGGAGGAGAAGGAAGGAGGAAATGGAGGGTTGAGTGGGACATAAATTATAAACACCAAGATGTCTCTGACGAGAGTAGCGCCTGTGATTTTTAGGGAAGACACTTTTAAGAGGAAACAGACTCAAATTTCCGACTGACCCCGGGAGGTCATTTCAACCAACCTCTGCTTCCAAGAAGGCTCCTGTTAAAACTACTGTATGGAGAGCTTTCCTATGACACGAAACATTGCAAATACACCGGCACCAACCACAACATTTCCACAAGTTTATTCAGACCTACTCCTCCTCTTTAAGGAATAAAACATTTCAACAATTACCCTGGCTTCCTCCTTCCCTCTCCAGAGGTATCAGGAATGGCCAGCTCATCTTCCCCTTGTCACCGTTCCAGACGTTCAGAACGTTATTTTGCCCACTCTGATTCATCTGCAGGCAGACTGTTTGCACACGTGTGGGAGCCAGCTGGAGGGCAGGCAGGTCAAGGTCAAGGAAAGAAGCTGGACAGGACATATGCTAAAGAGCGGGCAGCCTGGGAAGAGTGGGTCTTGAGTGCATTTTTGGGGGGTAGGGAGACAATGATTAGCAGTCGGCTAACAGAGGTCCATCTAGGTGCTGCCTTTGAGTAGGCTGGCATAAGTATCAAAGCAGACAATTTTGGTAGTGCCTGGATTCTCTGGAAAACGCTAAGAAGTTATCTACGGAGCAAGTGGGTCAAGTTTCTCAGTGAAATGTCTGTCAGGCCTCTGGCAACCGGGTCCCCATCACAGCAGCTCTGCCTCATTGCCATCATTTTAAACTTTATTAGTATCTAGACACATCAATTGTAATCATAGCATTTTGTGTTTTTAATACACATACATGGTGTGTTAACTTTCTTGCTTTCCCCTCAATATTTGTTTTCTCAAACATGGCATATGATATATAGAGAACCAGTATTTTACTGACTGGATTGCATCCTACCATAGGAATATACTGTAATTGATTTACCCAGCCTCCGACTGACGGACAACCTGGTTGCTTCCAAGTGTTTGCCATGATATTCGAGCTACAGTGACTATCACTGCCTTCATTTCCTTGTGCTCCAGGGCAGGGGATTTCTCTATATGATGGTCTTCAAGTGTCCACATGTTCAACTTGAGAAGGACAAATGCTTTCCAAAGTGTTTGTACTAATTTACTCTCCTACCAGCCATGCATGAGGATTTTCTCTCCTCCCATGTTCTTGCTAGGGCTTGATAATTTTTTCAGACTTCTTCATTTTTGCCAAATTTGTTGTCATGGAGTGATAGCTTGTTGTTTTAATTTATATTTCCCTGGTCAACAGAGGATTATCGATCTTTTAGGTTTACTCTCCTATATGATTAGCCCAGGCCCCTATTGGTTATTGGGTTATTGATTTAGAAGAACTCTTTATATATGATAACTACTAATCCTTTGCTGAACTCATTGCAAACTAACTTCTTCCCAGTGAGTCCTGTGTCTCTTACTGTTGCTTATGGGGTCTTTCTGATCCAGAGGCCTGTGATGAATCATGGACCGTTGTACTCTTTCCCTGTAATTGTTTCCAGGTGTCTCAGGTATCCAGGGCAGCCCAGATGGCCATCCCCAGCCCAAGGATCCTACAGCTGGCAAAGCCCAGGTCCCCAGCCACCCTGTTGGAAGAGTGGGACCCCATGCCCAAACCCAAGCCGCACATGTCAGACTACAATCGCCTCCTTCACTTGGCCAGTAAGTAGTTCTGCTGGGGCGTGGCACTGGCCACAGGCCGTGGGGTGGGGTACAGTCAAAAGACCTGGGCTTCAGGTCTGCTTCTTCCAGATTCAAACTTCTCTCTTCCTTCGTCTTCTCCCAAAACTGCAGACCAGTTGTCCAAACACCTGCGCACCATTCATAGCATGGCTCACTCAAGCTCTCCTGGGAGCTGGCAGAGGGGGCCATTCCCCAGGAGCAGAACTGAGAAGGGGCTGTGGCCTGGGTGCATCTCCTGGCAAGGGCACGTGGGTACAGGAGAGCAAGGCGGGGTGTGGGCCCAGGCACCAACCCCAGAGCCAAGCTGAGGTCCAAGGGCAGCTTTAAAATGGCAGTGACCTGATTCTTCCCCTTTCCTTTAAAACGAATGAGAAATGATGAAAGTAACGCACACAAATTGTAGAGAATTGGACGGTGCGGAAGGGCATAAGGAAGGAGATAAGGCAGTTCAGTGTGTTTCCTTCTGGGTATGCACACACGGTACACACACAGATCCACAAAGTCGTGGGGCCGCATGTCTATGCGTGCCAGTGAGCACCCGTCCAGATGCTCTCCCGGCCTGGCATTCCTGTCGCGCCCTCCACGTCCAAGGCACAGAGGACCCCTGTGGGCCGTGCCTTCTGAGCACACCTATAGCTGCCCCGCATCCCCTGCCCACGCACCCCGTCTGAGGCCCATCATCAGTCCCTGGACCAGAGCTGTAGCCTCTGCCCTGATCCTGGCACCACCCTCACCTGTCTCCATGTGGCTGTCAGAGGCATCTTGCTGGACACAACTCAGACTTGCCTTCCCTGCTCATGACCCTCCCAGGGCTCCCGCCTCTCTCGCGTGGGCCCGGGACCTGTGGTCTGTCCCCTGGCTACCTTGACCTGCCTCCATTCTGCTTGGGCCTCCCCACTGGCCCTTCCCATGTCCTGGAATGCACTCTCCAGACACCAGCTCTCTCCTTTGCCCCCTTGCTGAGGCCCCTCAGTGCCCTATTTCATTCCACAAGCTGTGCCCGCCTCTGGGCACCTGTGAGCCCCTGTCACTGCTCTTGCTCTTTCCCCACAGCACCTGCCACCAGGTAATGTGCCTCATAGTGTATTTCTCTGTCTGTTTGTTGTGTGTGTCTGTTACACGCGGGCCCAAAATGTCAGAGGCACTTAATCACCAGAGAGTTTGATTGGCCGTTTTGGCTCACTCTATTCTATCGTCCTCCAGGTTTCCCATTCCCTTTTTTTTTTTCGGTTATTGACTGAGAGCCGCTCTTTATATAAGACAATCGCTACTCCTTTGTTGAGCACAATGCAAAATAATCTCTTCCCAGTCTGCCTCTCTTCTTTTAACTGAGCTTATGGGATCTTCTGTTTATTCATTCATTTATCTGTTCCCTTAATATTCCTTACACGGACAGCTAAGTGCAAGGAAGCACGTGAGCACACGTGTGTGAATGCCCTGGGCCATCGTGTCTCCCTCTCTCTCTCACACACGTACAGACACGCGGGCAGTTGTGTGTACACGCATCCGTGCTGCAGACGTGCCCACGAATAGACACGCGTGAACTGTGCTCTTCAGGGCGGCCTGAGGTTGTCTTGTTCACAGCAGACTCGCGCCCCCCCCGCCGTGGCCATGACTGGCACCGTCGGAGAGAAGCGACCCGCGTGGGGCTGTGCAGGCACGGGAAGGTTCCTCGGCCACTCGCCGCTCTGTGTTTGTCCAGTGTGTTGTGTGGTAGGGGACTGTCACCATGTCACTGTCAAGTTTTCACTGGCAGAGTTTTGTTTTTAATTAATTTATTTGAGGGAGAGAATCCCAAACAGACTCTGCTCTGAGCGTGGAGCCCGACACAGGGCTCGGTCTCACGACCCTGAGATCACAACCCAAACCTCAACCAAGAGTCGGAAGCTTAATGGACCGCGCCCCCCAGATGCCCTGTCATTGACAGTTTTAAAGCCCGGATGTCACAATGGTAGGAGTGCTTCTGAATTCTCAGAGGAGTTCAGAGAAGCCGGGGCCTGGGCATGGTCCTCCTTGGGGCCCCCCTTCTGCTTGGCCCCTTCCCTTTGGGCACGTCACACACACACCCCACAGCTCTGTCCAGCCCCAATGGCTTCCTCCCCCAGGCCCCGCGTGGACGGGTGCCTGCCTGATGCGAGGGACCCTGTTCCCTTTCCCCAGGGTCTCTCCACTGAGGGCTTACCTGCTGAGAAGGGGTCAACCCTTTTTCATTTGCCCAGAGGCTCTGGGCAAAGGGGGCTTGGGAAGAAGACTGGAGCATCCCTCCAGGACCCCAGGGTCCTGAAGCTCCCAGAGACGAAGGCTAAGGCAGTGACCACTGGTGACCACCCCTCTTCTAGTCCCCTGACAGGCCATGTGCTGCAGGAGGGGGTGGTGGGGGCAGGGGAGGAGGAGCAGACCAGCATGAGAGGCCTGGGGGTACCAGGAGGTGAGAAGAGGGAGCCTGGCTGAGCCACAGGCCTCTGCTCCCGAGAGTGGTCAGTCCCCAACAGCAGCCACTGGCCCTGTGCCGCTATTCCAATGCCATTAAAACCAATCAATCGGTTGATCTAAATGAGTTAATCAACTTCACTACAATTGAATTAAATAAAATGCCAGCCCATATCAAGCACTCTAGTCACACATGGCTGGTGGGAGCCATGCCACCCAGTACGGAAAGCCAGAGCCCAGAGGAGCCAGGACAGCCTCAGCCAAGAAGCTGGTGCCGAGTTCCGAAGGGGTCCTACGCCGGGGAGTTGCCCCTTGGTCCGCTGACTGGGCACGCAGTACCAGCCAGGGAGAGGAGATGCCTCCCATGCCTGTCCGCTTGCCCCCTCCCCACTGTAGCACTCGAGCAGGGAGGGGACTAGGGGAAGGGGCCGGTCAGAGCCCCCACCCCCCTTGGCCACTAGGCTGGCCCCTGTGTTCCCTGTCTGGGACCCGTGGCCATTTGAAATAGTTTTCTTTACAATTCACCCTTTTAAAGTGTACAGTATACCGCAATAAAAAAATAAAGTGCACAATAGTTTTCAGTACATTCACAGGGTTGTGCACCCATCACCACAATCAATTTTAGAATTTTCATCTCCCTAAAGAGAAACCCCATCTCCATTCTCCATTAGTTATCATTCCTTGTCACCCTCGCCCCAGCCGCCGGCCCCCATGAGCCCCCTTCCCGTCTGTGGACGAGCCTGATCTGGACGTGTCACCCACGTGGACTCACACCCCGTGTGGCCTTCCATGTCTGGTTCCCTCCCTGAGCGTTGTGGGCTCAGGGTCCGTCCCCGGGGCCGCGCGTGTGGGCGCCTGGCTCCTGTTCGCAGGTGAGTGATATTCCAGCGAGTGGAGAGGCCATGTTGTGTATCTCCGTTCTCCTGTCGATGGGCAGCCCATTGAACTTGGGAGCTTTGACCTCCACAGACCTGAGCAGCCGTGCGTCTGAGACCCCAGTGCCTGACGCGGTCCCCCTCTCCTGCCCTCTCCAGTGCCCAAGGCCCAGTCGAACCAGTGTGTTCCTGACCGAGATCCACGCTGGGAGGTGCTGGACGTCACCAAGAAGGCAGTGGCCAGTCCCCGGATCATCTCCCTGGCCAAGCCCAAAGTGCGCAAGGACCTCAACGAGGGCTACGACCCCTACCATATTTCCCCAGCGTCCCTGGTGGCTCGGGCATCCCCTCGCTTGTATGAGCTCGCCACCCCCAAGAACATCACCAAAAAAGTATGAGCGACCCAGGACTGCCCTCTGAGATCCCATTCCCAGTAAACACCCAAGTGCATCCTAACCCTGTGTGTGGTCGGCTCTGAGTGTTTTGGCCTGAAGGCGGGAGGGCAGGCTGGATGGCCAAATGGAGGAAGAGGAGGAAAATAATAATATTTATGTTTGCATCCAACCTGCGATGTGTATGGCCCTGTTATTTTCCAAATCCCTCTCTCCTGCCCTTTCCCGCTTCTCAGATGCCCGGCTTCTGCCTCCCTCAACTCCAGAACTTTCCTTCTGAATCTCCTATGCCCACACTTGCTTATCCAACAACATCCTGGGCGTCTCCACGCACCTCAAACTCAGTGGCCTCCATAATAAAACCAGCTGATGCCTGTTGCATAACGTCTTGATCTTTACAGTGACCCAGTGAAGGGGGGCTGTAATTGCACCCATTTACGGAGGTGGACACTGAGGCGATTTTGTGGAAATTTGTTATATTAGCAAGAGGAGGCTAGTACGGATGAGCGATCCTAAAGACTGACTCCTCACACTAGGCGGAGGAGGAAGCTGCTGAGGTTGCAGTGTACCTGGCTGCCCACCAGACAACGCGGGTGGTGGGATTGCCAACCTTGGGAACCTTGGAAACAAGACAGAACAAGAGCTCCAGAAGTTTTTTTTGTTTCTTGTTTTTGAAGATTCATTTTTAAGTCACCTCCACACTCAGAATGGGGCTGGAACGCACAACCCAAGATCAAGAGTTGCACGCTCTTCCGACTGAGCCAGCTGGGCACCTCAAGAGCTTTAAACCAGTTGAATATCCAAAATGACGTGCACAATCTCTTGTCAAAGACCGCCTCGTATTCAGTGTTCTTATTAACACACGGGCTTCACACTAAGATGTCTTCACAAAATAAAGCTTCACTACCTCGGTTTAAATTCTTATCTTGAGATTTAAAGCGCTAATGAAGAGTCACGTGTATTGCCCATAACAACCGGGGTTTGCGCCCAGCTTTATTGAGATAGAAAGTACAGACAGCAGGATTTTTACTTTTTAAGGTATGGTTTCATGAGCATCGACACGGACACACGGCACAGCCCACAGTTGAAGAGACAGCAGTTTCATCTGCCCCCCAAATTCGCCGGTGCTGCTCTGCTGTCACCCAGTTCCCCCGTCCCCACTCCTCTGTTCTCTGTCCCCACAGTTTGGAGTTTTCTAGGACACTGGTAAACTGGGAGGGTCTACACTGGTGGAAGACCGTGCCAAGTGACCGATTGTCTTTGGCTTCGTTCAGCTTGTCCCTACTTTACAGCACTTGGGTGGGATTCGCCCTGTCATCCGTCCAGAGAGTCCGCCGAGTTTGGCCTGTTGACATCTTGGGACAACATTCGGGCTTAGTTCTCCGCCATCTTTATGCTGCACTTTAAAATTACCTGACTTCTTTTGTTTGTTCTGTAAATCTTCCAAACTACGACGCGTCTGTGTCCGAGGTTATGCCCTCAGGAAGCAGATTTTGAAACCGAGATTAGGGACAGGAGAGTGTCTGGGGCCGGTACCTGCCAGGCAGTGAAGGAAGAAGGGCTGGACAGAGGGACAGCGGGCCTCAGTGATGACAGTCTCAGCTGACCCTACGGGGGCCTCTGGAGCTTCGGAGTTGTCCCCTGTTGGCCACAGGTGATGGCTTTATGCATCTGCATGGACAAGTGCCTGGATGTGGGCAGCCTCCGTGAAGGAGAGGGGACTCCCTCTGGCTGAAGGCAGGGCCTGGGAAACAGTCAGCTTAGAGCCATCAGCCACCATCACCCCCAGCAGCCGGAAGAAATGCTGCTTCCATATATTTGGGGAGCTTGGATGGTGTATCCACCACAGTCCACCCGGAACTGCTCAGCTCCATGTAGTATGTTCTGGAAACATTTCACCCAGGATTGTTAGGCCTCTTTTTCTTTTTTTTTTTTAAAGATTTTATTTATTTATTTGAGAGAGAGAATGAGATAGAGAGCATGAGAGGGGGGAGGGTCAGAGGGAGAAGCAGACTCCCCGCTGAGCAGGGAGCCCGATTGCGGGACTCGATCCTGGGACTCCAGGATCATGACCTGAGCCGAAGGCAGTCGCTTAACCAACTGAGCCACCCAGGCGCCCTAGGCCTCTTTTTCTGAGGGAAAACTTGCAAGAAAAAGATTAGTGGGGTGAACTACAACCTCCAGAACCACGTTGAGCTGCGGCTGAAACTTGTCACCCCCCATCTCCAGCACACACCCTCCATTGCTCTCTCGCTGGTCTCAGAGGCTGAGCTGGTGATGGGGTGGCCCAGGCCCCAGTCCCTAAGGGGCCCGAGAGCTTTGTCACTAGCCCCCATCAGCCCATGGGTGCTGCACACTCCCTATCAAGCTTGGGCGGATGAGATCCAGGAGAGGCTGACTGCGTGGGCACAGGGGCCCACACCCACTCAGGCTTCCGGGCCTCTGCCTTTGCTGTCCCCACTGCCGGGGTGCCCTCCTCGCCTCTCTTTTCCCTCCTTTAAGACTTGGCTAAGGACACGGCTTTTTATGTTCTTAGCTTCATTTCTTTAATTTTTTATTATGAAAACCATTCAGGTTTATAGGAGAAAGAAATCTCCATATACCCTTTCCCAGATTCAGCTTCTAACATTTTGCCCCATTTGCTTTATCATTCACTCTCCCCCTCCCCGCCGTGCGTGTTTTATAGATACAAATTACACTTTTCTGAACCACCGAAGTTGCATGCATCATGGCACCTACCCTTGCTTTAGTCCCTTTGGGCTGCTCTATTGAAAATGCCCTAGGCCAGATGGTTTATAAACCACAGAAATGTCTTCTTCACGGTTCCAGAGACTGGGAAGTCCAAGATCAAAGTGTCAGCAGATTTGGTGTCTGGTGAGGACCTGCTTCCTGGTTCATAGGCTGTCTTTCCCCTGCATGCTCACAGGCCAGAGGGGCAAGTGTGCTCTCTGGGGTCTCTGTTATAAGGTCGCTCATCCCATTCATGTGGGTTCCAGCCTCGTGACCTCCTAAAGATCCCACCACCAAATACCATCATATTGGGGACTAGATTTCAATATATGAATGCTGGGGGGACACAAACATTCACTCTATATTAACCCTAAATATGTCACTGTAATGTTTTTACAGAACCACAGACCAGTTTTCAACTTCAGTAAACTCGACACTGATGTAATAGATTTATCTAACCCACATCTGAATTCCAGTTTTGTCAATTGACCCAGTAATGCTCTTTATAGACTTTCCCTCTGCACTGCTAGTTGTCTTGTGTGAAAGGCTGGTTTCTAATGGCATTAACATTTCTAAAGAATACAGTCCTTCTTTGTTCCTCATTTGGGGTTGTCTGCCATTTTCTCAACTATAGATACAGGTTATGCATTCCTGGCCAGATTAAGTGATGTGGCGTCCTCCTCAGGGTTGGGAGGTACATGGTGTCCCTCTGCCCCTCACTACGATGTTCATTTTTTATCACTGGGTCAATGTTACCTCATTTCTACACTGTAACTAATAATCAGTCTGTGGAGAGAGACTTCCAGACCTTGAAAAGGTCCTTCTCTTCATCCGGGTCCCTCCCCTCCCCCTTCACATCTCTCTGATGATTCTCGTCAAAGCCCTCTCCAAGAAGTCTTCTCTGGTTACCCCAGGCTGACTCAAACCCTTTTCTTGGGTTTCTGCCAGGTTGTAACACAGACACCCCCTCTCATTGTATCTATTGGTCATCTCCCTGGCTCGCTGGACCCCTGCAAGCCCAGCACCTAGTTGAGGGCTGAAGGGGACCGGTGCTTAGTTCACTGATTGACTCAGTGAGTGAATGGATGAATGACTAACTGCTCTATGGATCAGTGCGGACTCTCAGTCACAATGGCCTGAACCTCCAGCACGAGGAGCAGGGAACTCACTGACTCATGCAACTGTCAAGGGCAGGGCAGACCTTTCAAGGGTGGTTCTCTCTCCTGACAGGGGGATTCTCAGAGAGCTGGGATAATGCTTTTATATCCAGCATCAGGCGTGATGGAGCTCAACTTTCAGTACTCCATTGGCTGACAGCTCTTGAGTTCGCCACCTCCCCAGTCTTGGTAGGAACACCACCTACTCATTTGTGCCAGCCAGAAATTTGGGAGCTGTCCTCACACTCTGTCCACCTTCACTGCATTGGGGGCCTTCTGGGGTCTACCTTCCCAAACTGTCCACCTCTGTCCCCCCCTCCACCCTCGTCACCAGCTGACCTGTCTGCCAGCTGATGGCCTCCCCACTGACCTCCTCGCTTCCTCTCTTGCTACGCCTCCTGTCCTGATGCTCACAGGCCTTGTCAGTCTGAAATCTAAAATGTGGCGACTGTTTAAATGCAATTTAAAATGTTCGGGGTGTCACGTTCAAAGTCTCCCCCGGTGCCTAGCACAGGTTCGGAACGTGCACACTGCCCACAGACATTTAGTCGACAAACTAAAAACAGGGGGCTTCAGAGCCAAAGAGCCCCGGGTTCGGATCCTCCCCTGCTGCGGGACCGGCTCCGAGCACCGGGCAGCCACATTTTCGCCAGCCTCAGTCGACTCTGCGACTCTGCGGCACAAGAGATGGGTCCCCGCTGGGGCAAAAGTGCAGAAAGTTCCAGAAGCACGCTGCCCAGCCTTCCACCCTGGCTCCAGCAGTTGCGCATGGGCGGCCCGTTGCCGCGGCCCCAACTCGGGGCACTGGTCGTACTCAGCCGGGACATCGGAAGGAGGACACGGACAGGGCTCCCTGCGCAGGTGTGGCTGTCAGGGAGCAGCGTCCTCGCCGCCGCACCCGCCCCTCGGGCCGGCCCCGGCCGGCGTCCGGCGGCGGCCCCGCGCATCCCCCTCCGCGTGCCCGCTCCGCGCGCCCCGCACAGCCAGCTTCGCGCACCTACTACGCGCCCGCCCGCGCCCCGCCCCGGCCCCGCCCCGGCCCCGCCCGGCGCCCCCGCCTTCCCGGGCGCGGCAGCCAATGAGCGCGTGGCCCCGCATCCGGGGATCCCGGCGCGGCCACCGCCTCCCGCGCACACACGGCCATGGCGGAGGTGAGTGAGCGGGCCGGGGGAGCCGGGCCCCCGCCCCCGCGCGCCCGCGGCCCCCGCCGCAGGGCCCGGCCGTGCTGGGGCTCCGGGCGCGGAGGCCCCCGCCCCGGGGCGCGGAGGCCGGGCTCGGGGCGCCGCGCCCGTCGGGGCCCGAGGGGCGCGGAGCTCCGTCGGCGGCCGCCCCCGGCCCCCCCGCCGGTTGCCACATCGCGGGGTGCAGTGCGCATGTGCGGGCGGGGGGCGGGCGCGCGGAGCGGGGTGGGGAGGGGAGGGGCGGGGCGGGCCTGCGGGGAGGGGGCGGGCGCGGGGGGGGCGCGCGCCCCCGTGGCCGGCGCGGCTTCCCGGGCCGTCGACCCCCGGCCCGGTCCCGCGGTCCTCGGTCCTGGACCCCCGCCCCCGGCGGCGCGCAGCCCTGCCCGCCCCGCGCTCGCCAACTTTGCGGAGTGCGCTCTCTGGGCGCGCGGTCGGCGGGACCCCGGGCGGGCCCCGCGCGGCGGCCCGCTCGCGAGCCCTCGGGGTGCGGGGCCCCGCGGAGTCGTCCGTCCAGACCCGGCGGGACCCGAACTCCGCGCGCGGGCCGGCCCTGAGCACACCCGGCGCGGGGCGGCGGTGCGATGGGGGCCTCGGGCCTCGGGCTTCTCGGGCGGGCCGAGCAGCCTGCCTTCTCGGAGCCTCCCTTCCTGGCCCGCGGAACAGGCCTGAGACCCCTTACCCGAGTCCTTGCGGCCCTGCGTGCTTTGGGGCGCGGAGGTGTTCTCATGTGAGGATACGTGCGGGTTGGAACTGTGACGCTTGGTCAGACTCGCCTAGGACCGTCTGGGCGAACAGTCAGCAAATAGCTTCCCGTCACTCAGACCGGGACGGAAAACTTCCATTCTGGGTGGGCTTTTTTATTTTTATTTTTTACTTTGAAACGTCGGGTAAGACAGGGCGGACTGCGCTCACCTTTTAGGGCCCTGCCGAGGATTAAGCGAGACGGCGCACCTGCCAGGGCTCAGTAAACGTGACTCTTGGTACCTGACTTTTCAGTCTGGGCGCAGGAGTCGGGGCCCGCACCACACAGGCCCACAGACTCAGCAAGTGATGCTCATGGAATGGGTGGGGCCCCTGAGACCCGGACAGGAGAGGGTACCCACCCAGCCGGCATAGCACGTGCCTGGGGTCGGTGGCGTGGTTGTGGGGTGAGCGGGCTGTTCTGTTTTAGCACACAGGCGTAGGTGTTGTGCAAGGTGGGGATGGCCATTCTCTCCCACGGGTGACCTTCTGAGGGGCAGCACCAGGCCCTGCATTTGTGCCAAAGAGGGTGTGGGTGTCTGGGTGCAAGGCCAGACCTCAGCATCCAGTTGTGCTGGGTGGCTGGACCCAGAGGGTTCTTAGACAGTTCTCCTTCCTTAGGGGGCGTTTAGGGGAACTGAAGCCGCTTGGGGGCAGTGGCTGGCCTAGGGGGTCAGGGGCAGAAGCCAGGTGGGAGTGTGGTGGTCGCGTGTTGGTGTGCTCCTGGTTAGGGACACGGGTGGTGGGTGGGCAGCATGCTTGGCCTGGCAGAGCTTCGGGGTTTGGCTTTGACTCTGCCTTGCCTGGTGCAGAGCCCCTGGAACCCTCACAGCAGCCGGCTGCCCAGCGTGTCCCTGTCCCACCTGTTGACCGTGCGCGGTGCTGCCCCGTTGAGTGAATTTGCGTTGGTTTCGCAGGAGAAGGTCTGTGTGTGAGCTTCCCCGTGTGCCTGGCTCTGTGTGAGGCCCCGAGGGTCTGACTCTGAGCACAGACGCCACAGTGCCTGTCCTGAAGGGCCTGAGAGACTGGTCAGTAAAGGACCAGGAAGTGTGGAGATGTCGGAAGTGATGAGCCACAGCCAGCCCCTGCCCAGGGCACCTGTTGCAGAGCTGGAGCCTCCCACTCTCTGTGACCTTGGGCAGGCGACTGAATGTTCACAGCTTTGTTCTCCCATCTCTGAAATGGGAAGACCCTGGAGTCAAGAGGTCTCCCGAGATCTTGGCCCAGTGGCTTGCACGGGAAAGCTGACCCTTACGAAGTTACTGGTAATGAGCGGTCTCTAACCAATAAAGACGGCAGTTTGTAAGCTCCCAGTAAGTGCCTGATTTGCGTTAGCTGCCTGAGTTCTGTCGTTGCTGGAGTTGCCGACAGTGCCTCGAGGGAAGATGGGAGAGCTTTGTCCTGCCTGCCTCAGGATACCAGATGAGTGTGTGAAAGACCCAAGTACACTCTTTGTCTTGTACTTAAAACCCTCCAGAGCGGGCGCCTGGGTGGCTCAGTTGGTTGGGCGACTGCCTTCGGCTCAGGTCATGATCCATGATCCTGGAGTCCCTGGATCGAGTCCCGCATCGGGCTCCCTGCTCGGCAGGGAGTCTGCTTCTCCCTCTGACCCTCCCCCCTCTCATGTGCTCTCTGTCTCTCTCATTCTCTCTCTCTCAAATAAATAAATAAAATCTTAAAAAAAAAAGAAGAGGGCACCTGGGTGGCTCAGTCGGTTAAGCGACTGCCTTCGGCTCAGGTCATGATCCTGGAGTCCCGGGATCGAGTCCCGCATCGAGTCCCGCATCGGGCTCCCTGCTCGGCGGGGAGCCTGCTTCTCCCTCTGACCCTCCCCCCTCTCATGTGCTCTCTGTCTCTCTCATTCTCTCTCTCTCAAATAAATAAAATCTTTAAAAAAACCAAAACAAAACAAAACAAAAATCCTCCAGAGCTTTCCTTTGTCCTCGGGGTAAAGTGCATCTCCTCCCCATGACCCACTGCTCAGTGATGTGGTCCCCGCAGATCTCCCCCTGCCCCCACTCCCACTCTCTGGCTCCCTTCCATTTCTTCCTCGGAGAGACTCCGCCTTCTTCCCTCAGTACTGTGTATACCCGCTCCCACTTGTTTGTTCTCTGCTCCCACTTGTTTGTTCTCTGCGTCCTGGTGAGACAGGTAACTCGCGTGGGTGGAGACGGGCAGAACCTGTTTCCCCATTGACTGCAGTGCACCCAGGGCCGCCTCCTCACCTGGCCCAGCGTAAGTGTTGGGGAGGGGGGCCGCCGGGTGTAGGTGGAGGCTCTTCCTGCTGTCATTGTGTAAGGAATCACTTTCAAATTCACAGTGTGAAAATGACGATTGCTTTCTTACCTTCTGTGGTATGGAGGGTTCGCTGGGCTCAGTCGGGCAGGTTTCACTCAGGGTCCTCATGCCGTGGCCGTTGGCTGGTGGCTGGGGCTGGAGCTGACCCCAGGGGAGGAAGCTTCCCTGCTCACACGGGGTGCTGCTGGCTGGGACACCTCCCCAGGCCTCTCTGTGTGGCTTGGGCTTCCTCACAGCGTGGTGGCTGTTGACTGTCCCAGAAGAGACCCGATGGAAACCGAGCTGCATTTTAAGTCACATGGAGCCCCCTGCCCAGAGTCCCAGACCCATCCAGGTCCCCAGAACCCCACTTATGGAGGGGGGAGGCATGCCAGCGTCACAATGGGAGGAGAGCACGTGGGTGCCGCCAGTTTGGAGTGTGGAATCTGCCACGTCGTCGCTGTGGGTTATGCTGGGAAGGGCAGTGGGAGGAACCTGCCCGGGGAAAAGGGCCCCTGCATTCCAGTCTCCCAGTGACTGGCCTCCGCATTCGAGGGTCCATCAGGGTCCACCTGAGACAGGACTGACGAGCTCGCCTTGTCCTTGCCAAGACCTGGGTTCCCCACTGCTCTGGGACCACATCTCTACTGGTCCTTTTCTCCTAATTCCTTTAAGCCCCCTCCCAATCCTGTTTTTTTCCACCTCTGCAAAATGGACGGCTTTGACTCTGATGGAAACATCCAGAGTGTTCTGAGCAAAGGAAGTAGAACGCCTGGGAATCCCACTGTTGAGGGTGGGCTTGCATCTAGAGGTCAGATGTTGGGGCAGGGGAGTTCCTTGGTGAGTTTCGAGGAACCTGGAGTCATCTGGGAATGAACTTGGGGATCTGGGGCGACTGGGTGCTGTGAGCAGCACCCCCTCACCCCCGGCCCCCGCCCCCTGCCCTAGGGGATGGAGCTTCCCTGCTGCTGCCCTTTCTGTCCCTCCCAGCTGTTCCTCTTTGCTCCTTTGCCTTAGTGTCCATGTCAGATAAGGGCCAAGTCCTCCTCAGACCCTGCCGGGGACCTCAGACCGCCACACCTGAGGCCCTGCTGCAGGTGGGTGCTACATGGGAGTGGAGTTAACTCTCCCTGGAAAATGGGCCGTCCAGACTCTGCCCTCGCTCCGTTTCTCCTGTTAGAGCTATGGTAGCAAGAGACAGAAAGCCTGCCCCGGCTGAGATGGGAAAGGGAGCCCAGGGAGGCTGGTGTATCAGCGGTCTGCAGGGTCCTAGAGAGGGCCCAGGTGATGTCAGAGGACACTTAGGGTGCTGGCCCCGCGCACCGTGTGGGCTAAGGCTGTTCCTGGAAGGGGAGGCCGCCTGTGGCAGGTCCCTGCGCGCTCTGCTCCCTGCCTGCTTCCAGCCACTGCTGGCAGGTCCCCCCCACCGACCGCCTCTGCCACCCTAGGACACAGCCTGCTCAGAGCTCAGAACCGCCCATGCTGTGGGCAGAGGCCGCGCCACGCACAGACCCGCACACGCACCCACTTCGTGTCCCAGCCCTTTCTCGGGCTTTGCTGAACTTCCATTTACGTGCTGCCAAGTACAGTGAAGGGTCTGTAAAGGGTCTTTGAGTCACAGAGCCTGAGTGGGAGTTTGTGATCGCATTGCTTACATGCTGTGTGAGTTGGGGCGAGTGACTTGATCTCTCTGAGCTTAGTTCCTTGTTTCTCTTAATAGGTGAAGGATTACACAACCTCTTGAGGTTTTCTTGAGGACCCAGCGAGGAAATTCTTAGAGAACTTTTTCTAAACCCTAAGCCTAATTTTATTATATATTCAGATCTTTTCTGTGTGTGTGCAGACAGCTTTGCTGAGGTTTATTCATACAATTCATTTTCACGTGCACAGTTCAGTGGTTTTCAGTACATTCAGAGCTGTACGACCATCTGTGGTCAGCTTTAGAACATTCCATCGCCCCAAAAGGAAACACTACCCCATCAGCGGTCACTCTCCATCCCACCCCAGTCCCCGCCCCCCGAGCCCCCTTCCCGTCCGTGGATGAGCCTGTTCTGGATGTGTCACCCACGTGGACTCATGCCCCGCGTGGCCTTCCGTGTCTGGTTCCCTCCCTGAGTGTCCCCGCCCCCATCAACGGTCACTCCCCACCTTCTCCCCCGCCCCCCGAGCCCCCTTCCCGTCCGTGGATGAGCCCGTTCCGGACATGTCACCCACATGGACTCACACCCTGCGTGGCCTTCCGTGTCCGGGTCCCTCCCTGAGCGTCCCTGCCCCCATCAACGGTCCCTCCCCAACTTCTCCCCCGCCCCCGCCCCCCGAGCCCCCTTCCCGTCCGTGGATGGGCCCGTTCTGGACGTGTCACCCACGTGGACTCACGCCCCGTGTGGCCTTCTGTGTCTGGTTCCCTCCCTGAGCGTCGTGGGCTCGGGGTCCGTCCCTGGGGCAGTGCGTGTGGGCGCCTGGCTCCTGCTCAAGGCCGCGGGACGCTCCTGTGTTCTGCTTTGGTTTGTCTTCATCAGCTGATGGACATTTGTATTCTTCTCACCTTTGGCTCTCGTGAAGGTCCCACCATGAACGTTCACGTGTGAGCTTCAGTGTAGATGTGTGTTTCTTCTCCCTTGGGCATCTCTTTCCCTTCCCCTCCTCGGTTTTCAGGTGGGGCCCTGTGATTTAGACTGACAAAAGACAGATTATTGAGAGAGAAGTAGGCAGTTTATTAACTCAGGCAGCACACATCCCGCAGGTGAAGTCACAGTGAGTAACCCAGGGGGTGGTCAGGGCTTGGGCTCCTGTGGGCATGTCAACAGAAGAGTGGCCCACGTGGACTGAGCGTCACGACACAGAAGGACTTAGAGTCTGTCTGGGCACCAGGTCATGGGAGCTAGTGGAAGGCCTGGCTAGTTAGTAAGGTGTGTTTGTACACACGAGCTCCGTGCTAAGCTGCCCCCTGCCTGATTTGGGGGCAGGAGGGGAAGCACCCACAGGGGACTTATGTCTGCTGTGGAGCAGGCCGGGGCAACGCAGAGGTCATCCTGTGTCTGTTTTTGCTCAGTTGGCTTCACCTCAGAATAACCCTAATGCCGAATGGCGTATGTTGGGACGACAGACTCTGACCCCTTCAGTGTCTGCCTAGCGGTGGACTTACTGGGTTGTCCTAACCCTGCTTACCTTCTGCAGGACCGACGACTGCCTCTCAGACCTCCTGCTTAGCGTTGCATTCCCTCCTTTGATTTGTGTCTTCCGACGAGCATTTTCTCGTGTGCTTATTGGCCACCTGTGTATCTCTTTGGAGAAATGTTTGTTTAGATCCTTTGCCCATTTTTAAATTGAGTTGCCTTTTCATGAAAGGTAAACTCGTAAGAGTTCCTCGTGTATTCCAGATGCAGGTCACTTCTCGTGATCTGCAGACCTCGTCTCCCTCTGTGGGTTGTGTTCTCACTTCCTTGGTGATGTCCTTTCAGGCAGAAACGTTTTTATTTGTGTATTTTTTCTCTCGTTGCTTATGCCTTTGATGTCCTATTTAAGAAACCATGTGTGTGTCCAGGGTAACAGAAGATTTATTCGTGTATTTTCTTCTAAGAGTTCTAGGTTTTAGGTCTCATATTGAAGGTCTTGGGTCCGTTTTGAGCTCATCTGTGTGTGGTGTGAGTAGGCACTTGTCTTCGTTCTTTTGCTTGTGGACTTCCTGTTGTCCCAGCACCATTTATTGGAGAGACTGTTCATGCCCCACTGAGCTGTTTGTCACCTTCGTTGAGATTCAGTCGGCAGTACGACTGTGGGTTTATTTCTGGATTCTCAAGTCTGTCCCCTTGGCTTATGTGTCTAGCTTTATGTCGGTGCCACGCTGTTCTGATTACTGTAGCTTTGTAGTAATTTTGAAATCAGGAACTGTTCTATTTCAGAATTGTTTTGGCTTATCTGGGTCCCTGGACTTTTTGTATGATTCTGGGAATCTGTCACTTTTGTCATAGAAGCCAAGGGAGACTCTCCCAGCTGAGGCCACTTCCTGAGGTTGCCTGGGGAGTCGGGCTCTGAGCTGTACCTGCTCCCCGGCGTCCTGCAGAGACATCTGCCAGTGGGTTCCAGACCAGCCGAGCCAACCTTGCTTCTGTTCCTCCGCAGGCCTCCTCACTGGAAAGGCAGAGCCCTGGTGTGGCCTCCTGCCTCGCTCACAGCCTGTGCCCAGGGGAGCCCAGCTTGCAGACCGCAGCAGGTACCCTCCGTGCCCTTCCCCTCCCACTGCCCAGGGCTACCAGGGCCTCTGTGGTTGTAAGAGACAGCGTCTTGCTCAGCCAGGCAGAGCCGGACACAGTGTGCTGGCTCCCAGAGTCCAAGGACAGGGGTGTGGGCCTAGCGGCCGGGACTCTCTCCTCGTCTTCTAGTGGGGGCAGGGCAGCCCAGGAGAGCACCAGACGGCCTCTGGCCTGGGGTGGCCCGCCAGCCTGGCAGGCACCTCAGCCAAGGCAGGAAGACTGGGCTTGGTGCTGGGTGGGCACTGTTCCCAGGTGCTCTGCACCCCCTGCTCCCAAAGGTGGCCCCTTGCAGCTCCCCCTCTTGCTGCGTGTGGACCCAGGTGGAGGGAGGAGGCCAGCCTCAGCCTTCACTGCTCCCTGGCCTGGGTGGATGGAGCCCTCGCCATTGCCTTTTGTCTTTGTTCTCTTTAAATTTGGCTTACCGAAGAAGACCGGAATGGAGAGAGAGCGATACACGCATCCTGGTTTTTTGGGGAAAACCAAAAACCTGGCCACATCTGCCCCCCGTTGGCCCGTTGCGGGCGGTTGCGCTGTTGTTCTGTGGAGGCTGGAGGAAGGACTAGCATTTGTTGGGCCTCCGTGTGTCCCCCCGCACCGTGCTGTCCCTGCGGTGACGTGTGCGCCCAGCACCCCCTCCCTTCCAGGAGCTGAGGGCCTGCCACACGGGGCACCGGCCCGCTCGGGGCCTTCTGCTCTCTCTGCCCGCCCTAGCTCCCCTGGTGCTTGTTTCTGCCTGGTCTGTGGGGTCCTCCCCGCGCCGCTGCAGGGGTGAGTGCGAGGGAGATGGGCCGAGCCTCCAGGGCTGCACGTCCCCCACGTTCCCCTGGTGCGTGCGTACGGCACAGTCAGCTGGCGTGCTCCTCCCTTCGCAGCCCTCCGTGGCGACGGACCATGCTGACGACCTGTGCGCACACGCACGCAGCCGTCCCCGTGTGTGTGCCCGAGGCCACAGGCTGTGGGGCTTGTCCTGGTGACAGCAGGGCCACTGTCGGGTCCCACCCCACTGCCCTGCGCCTTGCACGACGCTTGGGTCTGTGGGGGGAGCGGCTCATGCAGGCTGGTGTCTCCTTCTCAGTGGTGTCCATGGGCTCTGCGGACCATCAGTTCAACCTCGTAGAGATCCTGTCGCAGAACTACGGCATCCGGGAGCAGTGCGAGCAGGCCGTGGGAGACCCAGAGAGGCCCGAGGGGGAGCTGGAGAAGGACTTCATCGCCCAGGTACTTGGCTGAGCTGGTCCCCCTGCCCTTGTGTGGGTGGGGCCCCCGGGCAATGTCACGTTTCTGCGTTTGGCGGAAGCAGTCTGCAGGCTGCTCCGATTTCACAGGGACAAGTACTGGCTGTGTGTCTGTCTGTGAAGCACCAGGCGCTGTGCTAGGAGCTGAGGTCGTGGGGGGCCAGGCCAGACCTGGTCGTGCCCCTGGGGCTTTAGGGCTGTAGGCATTAAACACGCTGTTCTCTCTTTTTTGGCCTCAGAACCCCCTTTATGCTCTTAAAAAATTATTCAGGATTTCTTTTTTTTTTTTTTTTTAAGATTTTATTTATTTATTTGACAGAGACACAGCGAGAGAGGGAACACAAGCAGGGGGAGTGGGAGAGGGAGAAGCAGGCTTCCCGCTGAGCAGGGAGCCCGATGTGGGGCTCCATCCCAGGACCCCGGGATCATGACCTGAGCTGAAGGCAGACGCTTAACGACTAAGCCACCCAGGCGCCCCCAAAATTATTGAGGATTTCAAAGAGCTTTGTGTAGGTTATATGGTAAATGCATTGTTAGTAGAAACAATTTATAAAATTTGTAAAATTGAAAAAAAATAATAGGGGCACCTGGGTGGCTCAGTCGGTGAAGCATCTGCCTTCAGCTCAGGTCATGATCCCAGGGTCCCGGGATTGAGCCCCGCGTTGGGCTTCCTGCTCCGCGGGGAGTCTGCTCCTCCCTCTCCCTCTGCCCCTCCCCCTGCTCTCTCTTTTTTTCTCTCTCAAATAAATAAATCTTGAAAAAAATGAAAAAATAACTTCTAAAAAACAGGTTGGGGGTGCCTGGGTGGTATAGTTGGTTGAATGTCCAACTCTTGGTTTTGGCTCAGGTCCTGATCTCATGGTATTGGGATCGAGCCCTGTGTGGGTTCTGCACTCAGCGGGAGTCTGCTTGGGATTCTATGTCTCCCTCTCCCCCTCTCCCTTATGTTCTCACTCTCTATCTCTCTCTGGAATAAATGAACTTTTGGGACTTCATCAAGATAAAAAGCTTTTGCACGGCAAAGGAAACAGTGGACAAAACCAAAAGACAGCCTACAGAATGGGAGAGGATATTTGCAAATGTCTTATCAGATAAAGAGCTAGTATCTAAAATCTGTAAAGAAACTCATCAAACTCAACACCTTAAGAACAGATAATCCAGTCAAGAAATGGGCAGAAGACATGAACAGACACTTCTCCAAAGAAGACATCCAAATGGCCAATAGACACATGGAAAAATGCTCCACATCAGTTGCCACCCGGGAAATACAAATCAAAACCACAATGAGATATCACCTTATTTATACCTGTTAGAATGGCTAAAACTAACAAGAGAGGAAACAAAAGTGTTGATGAGGATGTGGAGAAAGGGGAACCCTCCTACGCTGTTGGTGGGAATGCAAGCTGGTGCAGCCACTTGGGAAAACAGTATGGAGGTTCCTCAAGACGTTAAAAATAGAGCTACCCCATGACCCAGCAATTGAACTCCTGGGTATTTACCCCAAAGATACAGACGTAGTGAAAAGAAGGGGCATCTGCACCCCAGTGTTCACAGCAGCAATGTCCACAATAGCCAAACTGTGGAAGGAGCCGAGATGCCCTTCAACAGACGAATGGATAAAGAAGATGTGGTCCATATATACGATGGAATATTACTCAGCCGTCAGAAAGGATGAATACCCAACTTTTACATCCACATGGATGGGACTGGAGGAGATTATGTTAAGTGAAATAAGTCAAGCAGAGAAAGATAATTATCGTATGATCTCACTCGTGGAATATAAGAAACAAAACACAGGAGCGTAGGGGAAGAGAGGAAAAAATAAAACAAGATGAAATCAGAGACGGAGACAAACCATAAGAGATTCTTAATCATAGGGAACAAAATGAGGGTTGCTGGAGGGATGGGGGGATGGGGTAACTGGGTGATGGGCATTAAGGAGGGCACATGATGGAATGAGCACTGGGTGTCGTGTATGCAACTGATGAGTCACTAAACTCTCTCTCTGAAATTCATAATATACTATGTGTTAATCAAATGTAAAGAAGTAATAAAAAATGGAATAAATAAATCTTAAAAAAAAAAGAAAACCCAGAAACAGGTTGGGGAGAAGAGCGGAATAGCTTTATATTTTCGTAAATGCAGGAGCGAACATGAGTACCAGCTGCGGTCTTGTTAATTTGTCCTTTTGGTTGAAGTAAAATCTGGTCTCATACGGATCTGTTCTCGGAAGAGGGGAGAGTACCTAACCAGCTTCTCGGGCAATTGTGGGTACCCCTTGAGGCTGCACCCAAACCCCGTAAGTGGCAGCTTTGTGACGGATGCACAGTGGCTTCTGCAGTTATGTCCTGTGAACTTTCCGGACGTGATTCTGTTGGAATCTCTTGGTGGTGAACTTGCTGTGTGATCCTATTACCTTCTGCATGGTGAGGTGTTTGCAGCGTACTGGTTCTCCAGCCTGCCCATCTTGCAAATGCAAGTTCACTCTACCAAGTCCGAGAACCTCGCTTGTTAATTCCATAGACGAGGGGCTTAACCAGTGTAGTTGTGGAGGCCGTAAGTCTGCATTCAGGGTCAGGCAGGTTTGTTTCTGCTGAGGGCCCTCTTCTTGGCTTACACACGGCTGCCTTCTCTCTGTGTCCTCACATGCCTGAGAGCAAGTAAGCTGTCTGGGGTCTCTTTAAGGACCTACTCCCACCGGATCAGAGTCCCATCCTCACATCCTGTGTAACTGTAATTCTTCCTGCAAAGGTCCATCTCCAGATACAGTCACGTTGGGGGTTAGCGCTTTGGCATGTGAATTTTCAGTTCGTGAAAATATCAACGCTGATTTCGTCAGACATCTTTAAAGTATTGAGAATTTTTAAGTTTTTTTAAGCAGTAATCACGGGGCATTTACCTAGTTTGGTGCCATTTATCGCTTGGTGCCAGTTTGGTCTTATAGCCAAAGACAAAAGTCTTCTCTTCGAAAAGGAAAAAACAACTTAAAAAAGTTTAAAATGAATTTAAAACGTCTCAAAATTAACCAAAAACTGGAATCAGCCGTGTATTAATTAAATATCTCACCTAGGTTTTCTTCAGATATAATATTTAAAAACTAAGATCAGAGAAAGACAAATGCCATGTGATCTCTCTCATAGGTGGAATTTAAGAGAAAAAGCAGATGAACGTAGAGGAAGGGAAGGAAAAATAAAGTAAGATGAGAACAGGGAGGCAAACCATGAGAGATGCCGAACGCTAGGAAAGAAGCAGGGTTGCTGGGGGGAGCGGTGACTGGGGGACGGGCCTCAAGGATGGCACATGATGGAGAGAGCACTGGGTGTTCTATGCAGCTGATGAATCTCTGAACTCTACCCCTGAAACCAATCCTACACTGTGTGTTAACTAATCTGAATTTAAATTCAAAAAAACTGATTAGGAAAGAACGTGATTTCCAAGGTAAAAGCAGGAACACTGCCGTTTTTGTGTCACCTTAACAAACGATACTGCAAATTTATCAAGCTCATGTTGTCAGATCCAGATTTTCGAAGAAGTTTCTTGCTCAGAAGCCTGAGGTTTGCTGTTGCAGTGAGCACAGTCCGTTGTTTGTCTGGAGGGATGGCTGACCGGGCTCTTGCTGAGACGTCTGCGCGGCGCCCGGCAGGAGGCCTGTCATCACCTGCCGGCCGGTCTGTCCCTCAAGAGCGGAGCTGCGCGGTGGGGACCACTGCCGCAACACTCAGGTGCTCCCGCACAAACCCGCGCTTTGGGGGTGGCAGGCACTCCCGGTGCTTCCCCTTTCCTCACACGGAAAATTAAAACGACATCTGCTCCGCGAGAGCGAGAATACAATCAGGAACGTTGCACGGGGGATCCTCGAGGGAAGCGGCACGTTTACAGCTGAGTGGGTGGCGGGGAGGGATGCCCGCTGACGGCTTGCAACCGTAGGGTGCTGTGCCCCACCCGTGACTCCCTCCCTCAGCACGCGTGCTGGCACGGAGGGCGGAAATAATGCCGTCGTATTCTCAGGAAAGTCACCGCGAAAGGGTCCCAGGCATCTGGGGGTCGTAGGGCCCCTGTGTTAATTGCCCAGCAGGCGCACAGTTAGAAAGCGTGAGAGGCATCCTGAACATCCCCGTTAGCGGGGTCCTGGAGGGTGGGAGGGGGTGCTTGGGCTCCACGGGGAGGGGCGAGGGCGGGGCAGGAGCTGACCTTGGGGGGATGAGTGAGGGGGGCTGCTGGTGTGAGGACGTGGTGTGGCCAGACAATGTCGGCGTCAGGAGCAGAGAGGCAGGCGTGAGAAGCGGTGACCCGGGGACAGGACTGGAGAGGAAGGTGATGGTCGTGCGCGTCTTCCTCCCCAGGCCGCTTCTCGTCCTGTTGTGTCCGACTGTGTCCGTTCCCTGTGGTGGGCTTGAGCCTCCCTTCTCGGTCAGCTGGGGTGGGGTTGCGCTGCTGGCGAGGGCTGACAGCGTCCTGTTGCATCCACGTGGTGGACTGCTCCCTACCCGATGCGGACGTTGGATTTTACCAGATGTTTCTTGGATGGCCGTGTTTTTCCCTTTACCGACATCTGATTTACTCTGATTTTCCGACGTCACCAGGTGTGGTGGTAGATTTACAGATGTCGAGTCATCCTCCATTGCTGGGGTTAAGCCTGGGCAGGACCCTGTGGAGGGAGAGGCCATTCCTGGCCCCACTCTTCAAGGCTGGGGACCTCGGGCACAGGTGTCTTGTCCCTGCCTCTCCGCGGGGTTAAGGGAGTGCTCGGATGCAGGACTGGGGTCTGGCTGGGGTTAGCTGCTGTGAGTGCGACGGAGGGGCTCGGAACCCCGAGCAGCCCCTCCTGACACAGCCCTAATCTTGCAGAGCAGCGACATGCCCCTCGATGAGCTGCTGGCCCTCTATGGTTATGAGGCGTCAGACCCCATCTCGGAGCGGGAGAGCGAGGGCAGTGACAGCGCAGCCAACCTCCCGGACATGACCCTGGACAAGGTGCGTGGACTGAGGACGGGTGTGATGGTCCCCCACACGGTCTGAGCTGATGGTCCCAGCGGCCGCAGGCTGGGCTGGAGCAGGGGCGGAGTGGAGGCCGGCGAGGAGAGAGGCAGCCCAGTTCTCCTGGGCCGGGCCCTCCGGGTCCTGACAGGGCAGGTGCCAGCAGGGGGGCTTCATCAGCGGAGGTGGAAACTGCCTGCTTAGTGGAGAGCGCGGGGACTCCCTCGTTCCCAGGCTGCAGGGCTGGGCTCAGGGAGGGCCCCGTGCTGGCCTGCCCTTGTGCCTGGCCTCTCTGACTGCAGAGGGGGAGGAGCATCCAGAGTGGGCTCATGGCATCAGTCACCGTGTTAGCACTGTTACTCGCTATTACTACATGTTATCTCGAGGTTGTCGAAACAAACCACAAACACGTTCTTTGCTTTCTTGTTAAAAGGAACAAATAGCGAAGGATTTGCTTTCAGGGGAAGAAGAGGAAGAGACACAGTCGTCAGCCGATGACCTGACCCCATCTGTGACCTCCCATGAGGCCTCTGACCTTTTTCCTAACCAGAGTGGACGTAGGTGTCCCCCCTGCTCCTCCCCTCGGGTTGGCCCAGTGCGGGTCTGGGATGCAGATGGAGGGGCCCCGGGCTGCAGGGGGCCAGGCACTTGTGCTCCCTCCTGCTCCTCCCCTCGGGTTGGCCCAGTGCGGCTCTGGGATGCAGATGGAGGGGCCCCGGCTGCTAGGGGGCCAGGCACTTGTGCTCCCTCCTGCTCCTCCCCTCGGGTTGGCCCGGCGCCGCTCTAGGATGCAGATGGAGGGGCCCCGGGCTGCTGGGGGCCATGCACTTGCGCACAGATGCTTCATACCCCATGGGTGCCCTGACCTCAGTCTGAGCTCCTCTGGGCTTCCCACCTTCCTGATGACCTGTGAGCAGAGACTGAGTGGTTTTGGTTGACCTGAGGAGGGACAGGTTCCTGTAACTTGCAGTCTGTCAGGTCTGGGGCAGCGGCCTGAGACCGTCCTCCCCTCGGCTCTGCCTGCCTGTGCATCCTGTGAGGCTGGCAGGGTGAGGTGCTGGGCTCAGGGCTTGGCAGGGTAGCGACTGCAGCAGGGGGAGGCCTCCTGAGTCCCCAGTCCTGGGCCGGTTGCACACCCGTCATGTGGCCAGGGTGTGGGCCACACTCCTCAGGAAAGGCACAGTGTAGGGGTCAGGTGGACGGAGAGTCGGGGGGAGGTGCAGTGGCGCCCAGAGCCCGCTAGCCAGGGTGGGCCCCCCGGAGCCATGGGCACGACTCAGCTGCTCCCCTTTCCCCAAAGCCTGCTTCCTGGCTGATGCAGACAAAGAGCCTAGCTCTTCCACCTCTTCCGACACAGAGGAGGACCCTCTTCCTGCCAACAAATGTAAGAAGGTGAGTGGCCCTGACCCAGTGGCACCCTGGAAGTGGGTCTCTGGCCCTTTAGGGCAGGGCTGAGCATGTGGCTCCTGAGCAGTGAGCTGGGCTAGGGGCTTGACTGTGCTCTTGTCCCTGTGATGTGGCCCGAGGTCCCGTCCTGGGGCCTTTGGGCTGGACCTCAGAACTCCTGGGTCCTCGGGCCTCACCCCCGTTGCCACGGGATTGGCTGTACCAGACGGATGGACAAGTGGGTGCAGACACCGTCACTCACACCCACACCCTTCTCTGCCTCTCGTGCTCAAGACCACAGATGAGCCTGGGGCTCTAGGCGGCTGCCCTGGGGCCCATGTCAGCACCTCGTGGCTGGGCCTCCCATCAGCCCTGACTGCCTTGGGCCCTTGCCTTTGCAGGAGATCATGGTTGGGCCTCAGTTCCAAGCCGACCTCAGCAGCCTGCAGTTGGACCGCCACGGTGAGAAACGTAAGTGGGGCCTTGTGAGCGTGGGAGACGGGGAGAAGAAGCGGGAAGCCCAGTGTAGCCAGGAAGGAACTTGCTGCGTGCTTACCCAGAGCCAGTTCCCCAGCCCTTGGAGGGAATCTGAGGGGCAGGAGGACATGGACCAGTTGACGTCCCCTCCCTGCCCCTCTGCTCGGCGCTGTGTGGTCCTGCCGCCCTGGGCATCTGGCACCCGACTTCCCTGCCCTCGGCTCTGTCCACCCCGTCCTGCCCAGGCCCCTGTCCTCACCTCTCCATGAGTGCACGCATTTCCCCAGCCGGCTCTTCCCGTGTCTGGCCTTGTCCCAGATGACCGCCAGAGACGAGTGTTGCTCTGTCCTGCGCTCTCCTTAGGGCACTACCTGTCCCGGACTTGATGGCCCCACTGGAACATGGAGCGAGGCCTGTTGTCCTTTGAGATAGGCATTGCCGTGTTCGCTTACAGGTGAAGAAAATAGGAAGTGAAGTCACCTGGCTATTGACCCGAGTCTTGTTTTCCTGGCCCCAAAGGCCCTGTGGGCCCAGGGCTGGCACCCCTGGCTCAGGAGTCTCTCCCAGGATGATCCAGTCGCTGAGATTGGCAGTGAGGTGGGACAGAGGAGACAGGGACTTGCAGCAGAGATACCGAGGCCTTGGGCTAGGAGCTGGGATGTGGGCTTGGTGGCACATGCTTGCTCCGCCATAAGCATTTGGGTAAAGGAGGAGGCAGGACCATGCAGGTCAGCTGGGTCATGGGGCCGTGCAGGTGAGTCTGTGAACCTGATGACACATGAGACCCTCCTCCAGAGAAGGGCACCGGTGCATGCTTCTTAGCTACACCGTCAGGCTGTCCTGAACGCGTGCAGACCTCAGTCTGGAACCCCAGCCTTCACTGAGTGTGGCATTCGGGCCTTTTCCACTTCCAGGGAATGGCTGGTCCTTGGTCCCGAGGGGGTGGGAGCTGGCGTCTCCCTCCACGCACATCTGGGAAGTTAAATCCATGGTGTGGCACGTGGACCTTGTATGCTGTTGTGTGCCGTTTCCTGGTGTGGAGGGACCACATTGCTCATCCGTTGTGCTGTTGGTCGGTAGTGTGGTGGTTCCCGTGTGCAGCGCCGGATGTCCCTGCGTGCGTCTCTCTGTGGACATACGCGCTCTTCCCGGACAGATGTCTGGGCGTTGCCTGGGCTCCCTCCAGCGACCTGTGGAGTCCCCGTTGGTGTACGTCCTCACGCACACTTGACAGCGTCTGTGGGTGGGGAGGGGTGTCTTGTTGTGGCTTTAATGCGATTCTCTGGAGAGCGATCTTGTTTACTGGCCGTTTGCAGATCTCTTGGGAGGCACCTGCTCAAGGCTTTTTCCGCATTTTTAGACGGAATCGCCTTTCTCTGTCTGATCTGTGGGCGTCCTTCTGGCGTTCTGGATGCAGGGCTGTCTTCGGCTCTGGGCACCACCACGTTTTCTCCCAGTTGGCAGTGTCTTCACTTGCGATGACGTCCGAGTTGTCGGTGTTTACTCTGACCGTACTGTGTTTTTGTGCCATTAAAGAAGTTTTCGCAGCAGCTCTTCTCCTTTGTCTTCCCTGTCGCGTAGAAAGCAACGATCCGACTTGATTTAACGTTGAGTGTGTGGTTGGAGGTGTGGGTCAGGGGTCCTTCAACCTGTGCCGTGTTCTGGCCCTGTGATGGGACACGCCGTGCTGGCCTGCTGCACCGCAGAGGTGCCTGTCAGAAGCGGAGTGTCTGTCATGCGTGCGTGTGTTGGGCTTCTGCTCGCTGGTGTCCCTTGAGCCGCGTCTGAGACCGTGCCCGTCCTCCGACGTCAGGAGCCTGATCGTACCTCCACAGAAGTTGCTGACTAGCTCGTCGGCTGCTTGATTTTGCTGAGAGCTGTGCTGCACGCCGAGGTTACTTTGTGGAGAGTGTGGATGGCAGCACGGTCCACGCCTGCAGGTCACACATGTGGTTTCCCCTCTTGAAACCCAGCGGTGTTTTTATAGCAGTCTTGTGCATACCCAGTGGCCCCTGTTTGTGCTGCCGTAAAAGGTCTTTTGAAAAATTTCACGCGTATTCAATTTGTTAGTAGAAATGCAATTCGTTATCTTAATTGATCTTGTACGCAGTGACTCCGCTGAGCTTATTTCCAGATTTTAGTATTTTGTAGGTTCTCTTCTATTTTTTTTACACGCGTGATCGTGTGACGTGGAACGATAGCTTTACTTCATTTTTTTGCAATCTTTGTGTCTTTTGTTTCTTTTTGTCTCTGTGTTGTACAGGAGGGTAAAGAAGAGATGAGAGAGGACGTCTTGTCTTGTTCCCAAACTTGGGGGAAGTGTTCCATGTCCCATTTAGTATGTCGTTGGCTGTAGGCCGCTGTAGATGGTCTTTGTTGGACGAGGAAGTTTCCTTTTGTTAGCAGCTGACGGTTTGAATTCTGTCACATACTTTTTTGTGTCTCCTGAGACCGTCGTTTTTTTCTCTTTCATTCTCATGTTGATGGGCTTTCAGACATTAGACCAACCTTGCGTTCTGGAGTAAACGCTACCTGGTCATGAAGTACCGTCTTTGGTGATCTGCGTGTAGTCATTCTTTGCTACGTACGAGAGAACTAGGCGGGTCCTCCAGAGGTGCCCTGGCAGGCGCTTCTGACGGGGCTCTCAGAGGAGGGGGAGCTCCCTAGGCGTGGGGACGGACAGTGTGCCGTGATGTGACCCCAGCACTCCTTCTCCACAGTCTATGAGAATGACGACCAGCTGCTCTGGGACCCCAACATCCTCCCCGAGAGGGAGGTGGAGGAGTTCCTGTACCGGGCAGTGAAACGGAGGTGGCACGAGATGGCTGGGTCGCAGCTCCCGGAGGGAGAATCAGTGAAAGACAGTGAGCAGGTGGGGCTGCCACACGGGGTGCAGAGGGCCATGGTGCTGGAGCACCCTGAGTCGGAAGCCAGCGGCTCAGGTGTCTCGGGGGACCACGCAGGGGCAGGAGGGGAGGGGTGGTCAGGCATGGAGGGGCATGGGGAATGGGAAGGCCACCCCGGGAGGGTGGTGGGGGAGGTGTGCCGTGAAGCTCCTGCCCAGTGTGGTCATGTGATGGTGACAAGTTGAAGAACACTCATTATGACAGTATGAGCACCCCCAGTGTCCCCGCCCCTGAGAGTGGTAGGAACGCCCCCCCAGCATCCCCTCCCCCGAGGGTGATGTGAATGACCTTCCAACATCCTCGTCCCTGAGAGTGATGTGAATGTTCCCCTCAACGTCCCCGCCCCTGAGGGTGGTGTGAACACTCCCCCCCAACGTCCCCACCCCGGAGGGTGGTGTGAACGCTCCTGAACATCCCTGCCTGTGAAGGTGGTGTGAATGCTCCCCCAACACCCCCACCTGAGAGTGATGTGAACGCTCCCCTCAATGCCCCCACCCCGAGGGTGGTGTGAACGCCTCCCCAACATCCCCACCCCTGAGAATGATGTGGATGTTGTCCCCAGCATCCCACCCGCAGGGGTGGTTTGAATGCCTGCCCAATGCCCCCGCCCCTGAGGGTGGTGTGAATGCTCCTGACGTCTCTGTCCCTGCTGGTGGTATGAATGTCTCCCCGATGTCCCCATCTCTGGGGGTGGTGTGAATGCTTCCGACGTCCCTGCCCCTGAGATTGGTGTGAACGCCCCATCCCCGCCCCTGTGGTGTCCCCACCCCCAGAGGGTGGTGTGACTACCCCCCAGCATCCCTGTCCCTGAGGGGCGTGTGGGGTGAGGTGAGCAGGTGGGAAGTCAGTGTGGCTTCTCCCCAGGCGCTCTACGAGCTGGTGAAATGCAATTTCAATGCAGAGGAGGCTCTGCGGAGACTGCGGTTCAATGTGAAGGTGATCCGAGGTGAGATGTAGCCCCGGCCTTCCCTGCCCTCTGCTCTTGTCATGTCCTGGACACTGCTGACGAAGCCACCGTGCTCTCCCTCCTGCTTGCAGATGGGTTTTGCGCTTGGAGCGAAGAGGAGTGCAGGAACTTTGAGCATGGCTTCCGGGTGCATGGGAAGAATTTCCACCTGATCCAGGCCAACAAGGTGAGGACGCTGTCCGCCCTGCTCCTGCCAGGCTCTAGCAGTGGCTCTCTGGGGCTGGGAGGGGCTCGGGAGGCCAGGCACACGTCACCTTCACCCCACAGTGAGGTTGGGACTCCCCTGCCCGGCCTCCTCCGAGCCACGGCTGAAGCCCTAGTGCCCACCTCTGGCTCACCATACGCCCCTTGAGGTCTTGTTCGTCTCTGCTGATGTCTGCTGGGCCACCTTCCAGTCCCAAACGAAGGCTCTGGTTTGGGGAAAGACACTGCTTAGGGGTGAACTTGAGTAGTCTTGTCTGTTCGTGGGCCGTTGGCACTGCTTTGCCATCTCCTTGCCACCGTGCTCAGGGCCCATGCCAACCTTGATCCTACTCGCAGCCCTAGATCTCCTAATTTCCTCCAAGGACGTGGGTCCTTCTGCCACCTGCAGCAAACCTCATGATGGGAGGCGTTGCTGAGTGCCAGGTTACCCTGCCTTCCCCTCGACCTGGGTCATTGCTGGCGTCTGCACGTCCCACAGTGATGCTGTTTGCCCGTGGCTTCGTGCGTGACTCCTAGAGGGGCCTCTTGGCAGAGCCCTGGCCCCTCTGCCATGCAGCGTGGGACATCTGCCTGGCGTGTTTTGTGGTTCTGTGTCAGCCTGAGGTTTTCTCTGTCCGTCTCCCCACCTCACCCCTCATCCCCGTCTGTTGTCCTGTCCTTCTAGGGGGCCAGTAGCCCTGGCTCCTCACGGCTCATGGGAATGTAGGTAGTAGGGAAGGGCCTGGCGGAAATCGGGCTCACGTGCAGGCCTCAGTGTCTTTTCCCAGGAGCTTGGGGTGAATGAGGTGCCTGCTCGGGGCTGGTGTAGGGACAGATGGTGCTTGCTGACCATGCCCAGCACGGTGATGGACCCGTGCCTTGTGGCCTGCAGTTTCCTGCGCACTGTGTTTCCACCACAGCCCAGGCCACTTCTGTGGGCGCAGTGTTGTTGGCACGATGCCCTTGTTTCCTTTGTGCCCACCCACCCTGGTGGTGGCTGCGGCCTCCCTCTCCATGCATTGCAGGCTTCTGCTGCAGCTGGCCCCAGGGAGGCCACGGAGGACTTAAGCCCTGGCAGGATGGATGCGCCAACGGGTCTCATTGAGCAGAACAGACAGTGTGTGTGCCCCTGTCCCCGCTGCTCTCCAGGTCCTCCTTGGCCTGCTGTGGGGTGACCCTCCAAAGCGGAAAGATGCCCCAATTGTTAGAAGAGGTTTCTAAGAGCTTTTTTATAATTGTAGTGTAGTTGATGCACAAGGTCCCGTGAGTGTTAGGAGTGCACCAAGCGTATAGAATCGTGATGGACAGTCCCGTGCATCAGTTAGCGTGTAGCACGATAAGCGTGGTCACCTTCTGTTCTCGTACGATGTCGTTACGGAGTCACTGGCTGCATTCCCTGTGGTGTTCGTTTGGTCTCCGTGATTCATCTTACGCCCTGAGAGGTTTTGCAGGTGGAGTCCAGCTGTGTGTTGGACACACGTTTGTGGCACCTTTTCTTCCCAGGGTACTTCACAGATAAGGGTTTATTTGGTTTTCCGTGTCACGTTGTAAGTACGATCTTGAGTTGGTTTCACAAACCCACAGCATGTCCTTGAACGGTGTCTCCACGGCCCTCGTGGGCAGCTCTCCCGTGGAGTGTCAGCAACACTCTGCACTCAGTGGGAAACGTGGGCTCACACATTGTCCTCTCTGGGCCAGGGGCTCTGTCTCTGGGTCTACACCAGGGTCCTCTCCCCCCCGCTCTCCGGGCCTGCGAGGGGCATGGTGGATGCCGCTGTCTTCAGGAGCTTGTGGTCTGGGGCGAGGAAGGTAGACACTGGACACATGGTCCCGAAGTGAGGAACAGGGTGCCAGGTCCACACCAGTAGGTGGTGGGCTCTTTGAGATGGGGTGCGTCCTACTTTAGGTGAGGGGATGTGCCTCGGGGGCGGGCTGGAAGCGGGTGACGGGGGCTGCAGGCGGAGTCTTGCTTTGCCCGAGAGTGGTGGTGCCAGGACCGGTCTCTGCTCATCTGGGGGCCGGGGTGACACATCTGCTGTCCCGCAGGTGCGCACCCGGTCCGTGGGCGAATGTGTGGAGTACTACTACCTGTGGAAGAAGTCTGAGCGCTACGACTACTTCTCCCAGCAGACGAGGCTGGGCCGGAGGAAGTACGGCCCGCCGGGAGCCACGTGCGTAGAGCGGGCTGCTGGGCCCTGGGGGGGAGGGTGGGCATCCCCGGCAGGCGTCTCCCCTTCACGGCACACTCTCCACAGGGATGCAGACCAGGACCTGGACGTCAGTGACCCCGACGGCACCGGTCGCCCCCGCTCGTCGCCGCCCCTGCCCCCTGCTGCCGACAGCCTGGGCTCTGGGCAGGACCCCTTGGTGCGGATGCACACAGGTGAGAACGTGGGGTGGTCCCTGCCCTTGGGAGAGCCCTGTTCTCACTGGTGCCTGGGCCTGGGCCCTGGGGCTCTACCCCAGAGAGCGGTCTGTGGGGGTGTCGCGTGCATGAGTGGCCACGGGGACTTGCTGGCTTGTTGTGTGGAAGGGTACACACGTGTCCCGTGGCCCTGGATGGCATGTGGGAGGTCTCCTGGGTGTCCAAGGCTCCCTGGCGTCCAGGCTCAGGGCCGCACAGGAGCAGACAGGGCCCGGCTCAGGAGTGGAGTTTCTGACTGTGACCACAGAGATGAGGATGAGGACCTTGGCTCTGAGTCTGTTGCACTCTGGGGTTTAGATTGTTCCAGAATCTGGTTGGTTCCGTGGTTTGCCTAAAAGGGGGACGGCATCTTTCTACTTCTGGAATTGCTGATCACATAGATTCCACATTTATCCGCACTTTGCCTTCAAGCTTCTCTTACTCTGTTTTATTTGAATTTCTTTGAACCTGATGTGTTTTGGTCTTGGTTTCAAAAAACAGGAGTTTCGACCTCCCAGTTCAGGGCGTCAGCCCAGGTGCACGGTTTCCCTGTAACTGGTTTCTTTTGTGTCTGTATTTTATGTCTCTGTGAAAATACCTCTGTGGAGAGGGGCCCACCGGCTTTGCTGGACCCGCAGAGGTTGGGCAGGAGCCCAGCGCAGGTTGCAGTCTGAAAGCATGAGTGTGATTTTAATGGGGTGTGCTCTCGCTGGGATGGCTGTGGGTCCCAGGAGAGCTGGTGTGGGTGCCCCGGGGGCCCAGCCTCAGCTGTGTTCTCCCCCGCAGAGCCGCCGAGTGGAGGCAGCGCGGCCGGCAGTCTCAGTGAGCCTGGGGAGAGCTCCGACAGCCTCCCGTCCTCGGAGCCGGGGCCTTGTCCGTTGCAGCAGCTGGACACGCCCCCAGCCGTGCCCCTGCCCAGGCGGCCCCCTGCCCTGGCCGAGCCAGCCTTCTACCCCCCGGCCACAGCCCCTCCAGAGCCCGGCAGCAGCCCGAGACTAGCCGTGGACTTGACCCTGCCCGGGGCCCTCCCCGAGGAGCTGCCTCTCATCTCCAGCCGTGTGGATGTGAACGGAGGGCCTGAGGAGGCCGTGGCTCCGGCACAAGTGGCCTTGTCGGTCGCCGAGTTTGGACTCATCGGCATTGGGGATGTGAATCCCTTCCTGGCTGCCCACCCAGCGTGCCCAGCCCCCGGGCTGCACTCGGAGCCCCTGTCACAGTGAGTGCGGCCCCTGCCCCGGGTCCCCCTGCCCCGGGTCCCCGCCCCCCAGCCTCAGGCTGAGCTGTGGAGAGGGGAGGGCCGTGCCCCGAGGGCCTGAGGACGGCTTGGCCACATGGAGCAGGCTCTGGTGGCTTTTTTACTTTTATTCTCTACTTTTAATTCGGCTTATTTATTTTTTTGATTAGGTAATACATTCATATGGTTCAAAATCCAAAAAGGCTCCTCCCGCCCCTGCCCCAGCCACCAGCCCTCCCCAGGCGCCACGGACAGCGCTGCCTTGGGGAGCCTGTCCACCAGCACAAGTGAAAACACGGTCCGCTGGGGGAGGCGGGGTCGGGAGCCATGGTTTCAGCCCACGGCACCCAGGCCGTGCTGTCTGTGGGACTGGACTGACCTTTTCTCGGTCTCTCCCCCTGCAGCTGTAACGTGATGACCTGTTGATCCCTGGCCACGGGTGGGCGTGCGTGGCCCGGACTGGACCTGGGGCCACCGCGGGGCCTGCCTCTGCCAGTCTTCCCGACCCCTCCCCTCCTCGTGGGCCTCGGGTAACGCCTCCTCTGCTTCAGAACACGGCAAGGACAGGGTGAGTGGTGGCCGGGCCGCTGCCCTGCCGCCCTCACACACAGGATGGTGCCCTCGGTGCCCGGCACCACGGTCCGTGCTGTCCAGGCTGCTGCCCCCAGCGCAGGACCCATCGGGCGGCCAGAGGCGGAGGGCCCGGCCCCGTCTAGCCAGCAGAGGCGAGGAAGGTGGGGAGATGGGGCAGGATGCTGCCCCCACCAGCAGCCTCTGCCCGGGCACCCTCAGCACTCCGCTTGGCTCCATCTCCCTGCACCCGGCAGGGCCACAGTCTGCCCCAGCCCGGGGGTCGTGGGCAGCTGCTACTCGGTGCCAAACCCCGTGGGGCACAGAGCCATATACCTCGACGTCGGCCCCGCCTGCCCTCGACCTCCACCCTGCTCTCCACTTCAGGAAACGCCGCACTTTACGTCCCCCGCCCCCCCGCCTCCTCCCTGTCTCCAGCCCAGAGCAGCCTCGGGTGTGGGGTTGAGACAGGTGACCTGCACCCCCTTGGTACCAAGGCGCCGTTGCCTGCAGCACTGAGGGGCTGGCTCCAGTCCGTCCCCCTGACCCCGTGGGTCATACTTCTGTTGACGCTCCCCAGCAAGATGGTTTGGGGTCCTGGTCCTTCTCGTTCCCAGCTTCCCTCGTTTTATTTATGTTTCTGTTTACAAATTGGAGTGGGGTCCTCCACGGGGCCAGGGCAGTGCTCCCCAACCCCTGGGTGTCACCAGGAGAGGGTTTTGGCTCGAGCCCGTCTGCAGAGTTGGCCTCGACCTTCCCTCACCCCACCAAGGACCACACTGTGAAGTGATAACTGCCTTGAATCCCTTGCTGTTTTATTTATTAAACTTGATTTGAAGTCCATGGGTGCCTCGTGGTAGATTGGGAGGACGGGGTGTGAGGAGGTGCTAGGGACAGCCAGTCACTTTGTGGACCCTGTGACCTGCTAAGTCATGGCCAGGATGGCATGGGGCTGCGGGGGCGCTGGTTGCGATGACTGACACGACGGGCTGCTTTGATGTGAGTCAGACCCCGGCCACAAAAACCACAGCGGATGCAGGGGCGGGAGGAGCCCTGGGTCCCACGGAGGAGGCCCAGGGTGAGAGCACGAGGGTAGAGGCTCGGTGGGCCAGGGATGGTCGGTTTAATTCTGGGTCTGGGGCCCTGGAGGGGTAAGCAGGGGCTTGAGACCACTTTTCATAGCTCCCTGTGGTTGCTGCACAGGGGTGAGGGGTGGGGGGCGTGCAGGAGCTGGAGCTGGGAGGGGTGCAGCCTGGTGCCTTCCTGGGAGGGAGCAGGAGACTCAGTGGGAAGGGGGGGGTGCAGCCTGGCTGGGAGGGGGCAGGAGACCCAGTGGGGAGGGGGGTGCAGCCTGGCTGGGAGGGGGCAGGAGACATGGTGGGAAGGGGGTGCAGCCTGGCTGGGAGGGAGCAGGAGACCCAGTGGGGAGGGGGGGTGCAGCCTGGCTGGGAGGGGGCAGGAGACACGGTGGGAAGCGGGTGGGTGCAGCCTGGCTGGGACGGGGCAGGAGACCCAGTGGGGAGGGGGGTGCAGCCTGGCTGGGAGGGAGCAGGAGACACGGTGGGAAGGGGGTGCAGCCTGGCTGGGAGGGGGCAGGAGACACGGTGGGAAGGGGGTGCAGCCTGGCTGGGAGGGGGCAGGAGACACGGTGGGAAGGGGGTGCAGCCTGGCTGGGAGGGGGCAGGAGACCCAGTGGGGAGGGGGGGTGCAGCCTGGCTGGGAGGGGGCAGGAGACACGGTGGGAAGGGGGGTGCAGCCTGGCTGGGAGGGGGCAGGAGAGCCAGTGGGGGGCGTGCAGCCTGGCTGGGATGGGGCAGGAGACACGGGAAGGGGGTGCAGCCTGGCTGGGAGGGCGTAGGAGAGCCAGTGAGGGGGTGCAGCCTGGCTGGGAAGGGGCAGGAGGGAGGGGGCAGGAGAGTTGGTTGTCCAGTGCTGGGAGCCAGGGTGTGTGCGGGGGTGGGTGATGTGAGAGGGACTTCAGAAGGATTTTAATTGGAATGTTTCCCCAGTACTTGAGGGAAGTTGTTCTCCTGTCTTCTGGTTGGCTCTGCTTACAACAAGAAATCTGCTTGTCTTAGTGTGTTCTTAACTGTTTTTAAGATTTTTATCTTTCATGCTATTTTTTTTCTTTTTGCCTCCCTATTCAATAATGCATCCCCTCATATCTTTGCTTCTCCTTTCGTATTGTTAGAAATATCTTTTGAATGTCACTTTATTCGTTTCCTCATCCTGTATAGTTGGCAGTAAATCACATTCTGGGTAAAGGAGTGAGTAAGGGGTTTGTTCCCTCACAAGTGAAGAGACATAGAAACACGTCCATAAATGCTGCATTCCGACACGGTGCTTCGTCCCGGAGAAACAGATCCTAAAACATTTGGCTTTTCTGGAGACTTCACACGCCCATGTGTGATTGTGTGGAGACCCGAAATAGGGCTTCCTGGCTGGTTTGGAGCAGTTTGATCAGGGGGTGCCTTGCTGTGTCCGCTTCGTGCATTCCGCGTTCCTCCTTGTCTTTCTGTGGCTTGACGGCTCCTGTCTTTGAGCGCCGAGCGGTATTCCAGCACCCGGACGGACAGCAGGTTATAACCCACTCTCTGCCAAAGGACACCTTGGCCACGTTCGGGTTTGGGCAGTTGTGGATAAAGCTGCTGTAAACGTCTGTGTGCAGGGTTTCAGACCTGCGAAAGCCCAGAGCTGCATCGAACGGTGAGGGTCTGTGTAGTTTTGTGGGACAGCGTTTTGCATTCCCGCCAGCTGCTCTGCGTCCTCACCAGTACTCGGTGGCGTCCGCGTTCTGGATTTCGGCCATTCTGAGACCAAGCGTCGCCGGAGCTCATCCTTGTCCGTGGCTTTTGAAGGTGGCTGTTTGTGCCTGGGCTCACTTCTCCCTTTGGCCCCGGGTTTGCCGGTGAGGTGGTCTGTCCCTGTAGGTGCTGCCGCGTGGATGGCGGCTCCGCGGCCGGCGTGCTCCCCACTCTGTGGGCTGGAGAAGGCCCTGTCCCTCCACTTCTGAAGCACTTCTTAGTTTTATTTTATTTTTGCCAGATACAGGGTTCCTGGTTGACTTTCTTTCACCATTTTGGATATGTTTCATCAACTCCTGGTATCTGTTGTTTCTGATGAGAAATCCCTGTTTCTGCAGGTCTGTCTCCGATGGGGTTGCTTGTTGTGGGTTTGGCGCCAGCAGGTTGATGGGGACGCACTTAGGTGTAGCTTGTCTGCGGAGCTGTTAGGGCTTACGGGTGGTGCCTCTCCTAGGTTTGGGGCATCTTGGCCATTGTTTCTCCCGACATCTCTGCTGCCCCCCTAGTGTCTGGCTGCACAAGGTGACCCCAGCCTCTCAGACGCCAGCCAGTCCCCCACGTTCTTTAACTCACACCTTGTACGTTTTGGTTCTAGTATGTGTATTTGGCTTTTTCCGTTTCTCTACTGAAATTCTTCATTTTCTACCTTTTCCTGTAGAAACTTAACCTGAATCTTCGTTGTTTTCACCTGTGGGTCACTTCTGGATATTACTTCTCTTAACCGTTTTCCTCTGGATTGTGGGTCCCCATTTCTCCAGTTTTGCTGGTTATTTTATTTTATTTTTTTTAAAGATTTTATTTATTTATTTTAGAGAGAGAGAGAGAGTAGGGAGAACAGCCGAGGCAGAGGGAGAAGCAGGCTCCCCGCCAAGCAGGAAACCCGATGCAGGGCTCCATCCCAGGACCCTGGGATCGGGATCTGAGCCGAAGGCAGACGTTTAACACACTGAGCCACCCAGGAGCCCTTTGCTGGTTATTTTAAATGAGTCATTTTCCTTGTGTTGATGCGGACACACGAAGGCCCCGGCCAGGCTGTCCCGCGACCCTGGCTGCTGTGGCAGTTGGCATCTGTCTTCCTCAGTCCTGACGGCAGCCGTGGGACCGGAAGCCGCCGCTACTGGACTTGCCCCTGCGGTCCATGCAGGAAGCATGTGTCCCTTCCCCAGTGGCTCCAGCAGAAGCCCCTGAATATCAAGGCTAGTGCCCGGGACTGAACGAGTGACCGGCCAGGCCTGGGTCAGCTGCCCACCTGAAGAGGGCACCAGCCAGGGTGGAGGGGGGACAGGAGCAGAGAGCGTGTGGGCGGCGGGAGCGGCAGCTGGGTCTGGAGGAGCGCCGAGGCCGCAGGGCAGTGTTGGGCCAGGCGACGGGAGGTGTATTTGGGAGATAGCAGGAGCAGAGTTGTGCTTTAGGGAGACTGGCTGGGAGTGGACACCAGGGGCCGTGTTGGTCGGCCTGCACCACAGGTGGAGCCCTGGCTGTGAAGGAATAAGCAGCTCATGCGCTCTGGCCATGACTCAGAGAATGCTGACCCCGGGCTGAGGGTCCCTTGGTCACTAGCCCACGTTCATTCATTTGGGACTGATTGGGTATCTGCTGGGTGCTGGCCTCTGCCCCGGCAGCTCAGGACTGGGGAGGAGGGGATGATAGGCAGACACACGGAAATGATGCCAGAGCTTCCAGGAGGTGGTGGACACGGCGGGGGGTGGGGGGTAGGGGAGCGGAGAGGACTGTGCCATCAGGGGGCAACTTAACCCGGGATTCGGAATTCACTGATGTTGGCTTCTGAACTGAAGGTGACCCCAAGTACCTGCCCCATCGTTTCCCGTTCGATTAACCCTCCCGGGTGCTTCCTAAGGAGTTAGGCTCTCGGTCAAGCAGGTCAGTACAGTCTCAGGGCTTAGGTACCCTCCAGTGCCCGTTATGCAGATGGACAGACTGGCCTGTCACAGCCCCCCCCAGGGGTACAGGCTCGACTCCAGGACCCTTAGCGGGGGCAAAGCCCCAAGTCTGGAAGAACTCCACTGTGGCCTTTCTGAGCCCCAAGAGTATACTTTCAGGTAATCTCTACACCCAACATGGGGCTCGAACTTAGCCCCCAGAGAAGTCCATGAAGGCCAGGAGTGGTGCACTCAGGTGGCACCCACTGTGTGCCAGGCACCTTTCTGCCCACCTCCCAGGCATCTCTCCCTAATCTTCACTACACTTGGAGACACCTGGAGCCCATCAGGTTGACGAGAACTGACCATTTCTGAGCCCTGAGCTCCACTCCCTCGTGGGTCACCAGGCACCGAGGACTTGGTTCTGTCTCTGGGGGACATAGACAAGTCCCTGGGACCCAGCTGGGGGCTCAGTCTGCCACCTGCAGGTAGGGGAGGAGCTGTCCAGGTCTGGCTCCCAGTCCAGGCTCTGTCCCTCAAGCAGGCCTCACTGGCCTGGGGTTCTCTCTGTACAGACTCCTTGCAATGTGGAGGACCCCAGCTAGCAGATGCAGGAGCCCTGACCGCGATCCTAGCCTTAATGCTAATCCTTGCTGCCCTCATTAGATTTTAATCCTGACCTTGCCCAGGTGTTTTAAGGACTGTGAGACTGAGGTCAGTGGGGAGGGCAGTGCTTGCAGCCCCACGTGGGCCCTCCAGCCATGCTGTTTTCCAGGCTCATCTTCCTACCCATGGTTTCTGTGCCCACAGGAGCCTCCCCTAGAGACCTCCTGGGTCCCACCTGCAGCCCCGCCTCAGGCCATCCCCAGTACCACGCCTCCTCTGGCAGGCTTCTCCCAGCGATCTCCCCACCCAGCACACAATAGGTGCTCAGTAAAGAACCCCACCTTTCCTCGACTCCAGTAGAGCGCTTCACTTTCTCTACCTTAACTGAGAATGGGTAGTCACCCCGAGGTTAAAGTGAGAGAAGGTCAGTAATGAGGAGGCCAGGGAACACTTACGGAACGTTATGCCGGGCTGTTGCTTCACATATAACTGATGCTACATGCTGTGGATGCTGTTCACATGTAACTCATCAGGTAATTCTCACAAAAACCGT